CGTAATTTTGAGTCTAAAGCCAACAGAGACACCCAGAGGCGCGAGGTTACAGTCCATTCAAAGTTACATAACAAGAGAGTAGAAACTTCTATCAGTATCGTGATATGTGTAAAAAACCAAACCAATCCCGTCGTGGCGAAAATAAGTGGAAGACAATAGCTGGGGGGGAGGGGGGGTCTGAAATGCTTGTCACTACCCCCCACCCCCTTTGCGAGAAAATTTTTTACGTTGTTAATCATTTTTGTTAACATCATACAGATGAAGAGAATACCAATAGTTAATATTCTCCTGTACAGACGTTGTAAATTAAGGTGTGACAATGCGTAAAACCGAAGAAATACACCAGGCATAAACATTTTCTAGTGGTGGGTGCTTCGCCCTTCCTGCTGAGTGCCAACGAGTCCGTAAATGCCCCAGGTAGAGCTGCGATGTAGGCCCCCCCCTCTCCACCATGAAAAATCCAAGATATGCCTTTTGAATAGTGAGCCTAGTCGTGGAACTGTTAGACAAATCCGACGGAACCGCCCGAAGACGGACGCTAGAAACCGGAATCGAGCGCAGCCGTTCCGGAAGACGGACGATATTGTCCGAAATCGTTCGGAACTGTTCGTAGTCGGACGCAAGTATCCGGTAGGGTAAAGTCAACAGCTGTTTTTTGTGGACTCTAAACTATTGGTCATTAGTAGATAATCCCGCTATGTTATGCAAGAGACTAATGTCTCACTGCGTCATTGTTCCACTAACCAGCAAAGTATATTTTTACTCATACTGCATTTAAAGGCAATATGGGGTTCGATCGGTAAAGAAACCCTGAAGGAGATTAAACAAGATGTAAATTACAACCCACACTGCAAAACAGCTGATAAATATTCTGAAAACAGCCAAACAGACAAAACACCATTCCAAATTAAATTTTTCTTGCAGAGGACTAAATTACTTTTTTTTAAATTGTTTATGATAATTAGCTCGTTCTTTAAGAGGTAAACGTTAACTTATTTTATTTTATTTTTGCCAGATACACGTTCCAACGCCAACTTTACATAGACTTGTTAAATTATCTCTTTCTTTTCCATTTTTACTTTGGCTATCTCCATTATTACGTCCGCGGCTGACAGTTGCTAAAAGTTAATCAGGATCCTGGCCTGTCTTTAGGAGATTTATACAGAAATTACCGCTTAGATGTCGGCCTTTACAAGTTTTATTTTCATGAAAAAAGATAACGATCTTTTTGTGTAGTGGAAACTTAAGTTTTCGCTCTGTCGAAGTGACTTAACGAATCGAAAGACAAACTGAACAGCTAGGTTAAGTGTTACTGCTAAAGAGGGAAATAATTAATGGTGTTTTTAGTATTAACAGCTACAGTGTTGAATAAAAACGCGCACAAAATTTGTCACAATTTGTGGAAGTAGGTTTAGTTTGAACACCTTGCGTTTTATGCAAATGCTGATGAAAAGTCATAATAGAAAATATATTTTTTAATTTTCAATAAAAAGGAAACCAATCCGCTATCAGTTTTCTTTGTTAGATGAGCAGATGGACGAGTTAATTACTTCCTTAAATTGAAAATTTTAAGCGCCTTAGTCGTACAAAACTGGAGGAAAAAGTTTAGAGGGCGGTGAAAAATTTTAAGTACAGCTAAGGATCTTCAATTGTGGCTCTGACATGGAACCATTTAAAGCTACTTTTTGACTGTCTTGCGAATGAAAGCTGTCAAGTTTATTAAGTGTGATCTGGAATCTTTGAAAGGCGAAGGCAGTTCGCTACGTGGACATTCGACTTCAGAAATAAATTCGTTGTTATGCACTGCTAAGAGTAAACACGGAGAATTTGATCATAATTCTCTGTTGGAGGCGATGGACGAGCGAATGAAACGGGAGGAGTCGATTTTGTCAACAAGTCCTCATAAGAAGATTGTTAACGCTGTCCGTTATGCCAAGACAATGAACTGCTCTCTTGACTCGAGCCTGGAAAAAACCAAGGACTTGTTACATCGCGAATTTGAGCGTGAAATTCGACGCATCTTCGACGTGCAGCAAGCTGCTTATAAGGAGCTACCGGCAGGCAAGAGAACCACACGCTCCCAAGTAACGGGAGTCACAAACAAACAGTTCCGTCGGCGACTGAGTGAAGTATTAGCGAGCCGAAGGAGATCTGAGGAGTTTAAAAGAACTTACACACGCTTTTCCCTACCAAGTCTATCTCCAGTTGAACCATCGAGTCGGCAAGAAAATGTATGTGTTCCTTTATCCCGCCGGAAAAAGGACGGCGAAATTATCTATTTACCGCCGATATAACTGAAAGGAAACCTCCTATTTACAAAAAAAAAAATATCACAATTGTACATCTCATCACGTTAAGGGGGACTTCCCGTTTAACTACGTAGCAAAGTATACTTGCCTATTGCATAATGATTTCTGACAGATTTACCGAGTTGTTCCTATTTTAAAGACAGGTTTCTTTTCTAACATGTACTCATTAGCTTCTTTTTTTATTTTGGTTTTTTAATTCATGATTTCCAAAATTTCAAATGTCCTTCATCGCATCGGCCGTTTAATTTCCATAGTTCCGGTTTAAATGTGAAATACATCAAAATGCTTTTTAAAAAACCTGTCACTTGTGCTTGTTAGGGTTATGAAAATCGTTGATCGTTTTATTTGTTAAGATCACGTTATCAAATTGATACTTTTCGAGTTTAGTTAAAAACGTACTTTGTTCGCATGTATTTTCTAGATCAATATTACAGCAGTTTATTTGTTCTCTCAGTTTTACGTTTTCTCATTTTCTAAAATATAAAGTCTGTAGCATAAAAACTATGAAAATATGTTGAATTACAGAATAACATTAATTTTAAACGAGCCCTCGCACTCTCTAAATTTGCGACACAAACATATGAAGGTGGAGCAAGGCGGACACATTGTTGGAAGAACTGTACAATAAACTAATCATAAACGACAGAGCTGAGATGTTAGGACTGATTAAAAATCTTTACAAAACAACAGAGCTAATGATTAAACGCTTTTCCTCCATCAGTTTATTTTGATATTTTTAATTGATTGCGCACCATGAGAGATCATTTCTGCGTTTTAATGCGAAGAGAAGCTTATGGTAATAATTTGTCTAGGCGCCCTCCTTCCAATAAGCGCTCGCTCTCTGGTTTAAAGCGCCTTCCCTAGATTTGCTTTTGTTAATAAGGTTATAAGCACCCTCATTCTAATAAGCGCCTTTATTTCAATAGACACCCCTATTCTGTTTCAGTGTTAGCCGTGCTAGAGTACATTCCCCCTAAATATTAGTATGCCAATATTCACTGTATATCTTTTTTGTTCAGTTTACAGTTTCTGCTACTGTTTCTTTTTAAATAAACAAGAAAACTTAATTTGCATATTCTGCTATTTCTCAAAAAATAATAAACGCCCTGTTCCCAATAAGCGCCTTGTTTCGAGTGAGCGTCGTCCCTAGAGGAACCATGAGGAAATAAGCGCTCCGGACGCTAAATCGAATCCCTACGGTAGTTGTTTCTGAGAACCAAACCCGGTTAAAGTAGGGTAAGAGTACCTCACAAGAGAACCTCATGATCGCAAGAGCCACATTAACAACAATAAAATAACCGATTCAGTTCTCAATAATTTCAGATTACGTATTGACACTTACAATAAATTTAAATTCGTCTGAAAGACTGACTCCTCAAGATAAATTAATATATTTTTCAGTAAATCCTTTTAAAAGCAAAATCATGGTTGCGCAGTTAAATTCTTAAAACTCACAGCCTACTTCCTTTTAAGAAGCACAGTCTTAAAAAAAAATTTCATTAAGATGAGGATTTGCTGAATATAACTTATATTGATAAGTATCATGTGATGTAAAACCTGATCAGTCATCAGCAGAAAAGAAGAGATAAAAAGATGCATCTCCTTGAGCCAAGATCTTGACAAGTCACCGGTAAACTTTGTCAGTATGGAGGGCTGACTATAACTTTTAAAAATTATGGTGATTCCTCAGAAAAAAAAGTTACCGAACAATTTTTTTAAAGTTTCCATAAATTTTCCTTGCCGATGTCTGTTTCAAAGAAATAAATAAAAAGATGGGTCACCGAACTTGTTTAGGAGATATAATGGCCGGCCAAACTTATCCCATTAATTCCTGTACTGGCACTAATCACGCACGTCATTTCATCGGTTCACGGTATATCTTTGCTGCAAGCAAGATTTTTAAAGTAACACTTGAAAAAAAAAACTGATAGGTAGAAAGTCTCGAGCGTATGGAACAATTTTGATTTATAATTTGTGGGAAAATCATGCCAATTTAAATGGCATCGACTCAAAACGTTCCACGAGTCGTTCCTTTCAAGGTCATAATTTGCATCCTCGAGTGCACGCTCTTAGCTTTATCTTTTTTTCCCTTCGAACAATTTTTTTAAATTATTTCCCATATTTAAAGGCGATAAATTGTAAAATAAAAATATACGTCACCGTGCTCGTTCGAGTGCTTAAGACTGTCACACCTCTTTACTTGATCCATGGATTAAAAAACAATACCATGTTATTGGAATGCGCGTGCGCGAGCCCATTCCCCCAATTATATGATTTTCATGCGGAGTAAAGGATGCGCAGAGCAAAACTGAGGAAGCACCTTAACCTTGAGATAACTTTCATAACTGCTACCATGAAAATCACAAAAATTGCCTCGTCCCTAGGTTGAGGATACCTCTCCCCTTTTGTCTCCACGGTGATATAATAAATTCAAAAGGCTATCTCATAGCAGACTGTTCCCGTTTTCAAACCAACTTGCCTCGTCCTCAGATGAAGGCCGCCCTTTCCGCTGTTGTCTCCACGGTTGAGTGGTAAATTCAAATGGCTTTGTCAAATTTTTCGCGCGCTTCAATAATTTAGCGGGTTTTTTCGAGCGGGTAGAACCTGTTGATCACAATCCAAATTAGGAAAACCCGCTTGTTGGCAGTTGTAAACTAGCGAAGCGACTAAATCTCGCGGGTTTGCTTCGTTTCTTGAACGCAGCTATATTTTCAGGGCTATTTCATTACAAGATGGTGTGTTAACCATCGTTTGGAAGAAAAAAATTGTACATGAGGTAATTTTCAAAGGAATGGATATTGTTTGTCTCAAGCTAAGAAGTGTTGACGGGAAAACAGGATAAAGAAATATGGGAGTTGTTTCACAAGGTAAGATACTCAAGTCTGTTCTCTTACGACGCGAGGTAGTTCATTAGCACAGTCGATAAGTTGATTATTAAATATTTTCAGTGGTGATTCTGTGGATGATACAAATTATGAAAGCCTTTACAAAAAGCTTATAACTCAACGGAAAGTTTACTTTATTGACTGACATGGAATGAAATCAGAGATCCGGCAAGTACTTTCATTTCACCGATGATAATTTTTTCTTTAGCACTTCAATTTTACTTTCGTTAATTTTCAACGAAATCAAGTTTTTAATTATTTCTGCTTAAACATTACGAATTTAACCAGGTATCTCACGAAATACCGAGATTTCATCCCCGTAATCGCTGGAGAGTACTTTCTAAACTTGAAACAAAGGCATCTCATAAATACGTAATAATCAGCATCCATCGAAAATCACAAAAGAAGTGAACAACTACGAACTGGTTAATTTTATGTTAGGTAAAATATTTGATAAATGGTAAAAATTCAACTGAATTGAATGCGTGATTTCCACAATTTGGGTCGAGTCTCTCATTCTAATTACCTCTCATCTTTAAAGAATAAAACTCACCCTATCTCAAAAAATACCAATAGGGACAGGGTGTACATAAAGATGAAAACTACCCAAAGCTTCGAAAAATTCGGCAAAATATGAAGGCTCATGTCAATTTCACCAACAAAAAATGATAAATCTATGCTCTTAATGGAAGTTAAAATTTAAAAAGGATTGAAAAAAACCGAAAAATCACAAGCAAAATGAACTTTCATAAAACTTTCAGTAACTGGCCGCAGAGCACAAGACTTAGCTTGTTAAAGTTGTGAAATTGATCAAGGCTGTTTTTTTAAAGGTTTGATTCACGAACGTTTATAGATTATCGCCATGTTTTGGTTAAAATATTTTATTCGTTCTTTTTAGCTAAATAACTCATTCTAAGTAAAGAGGTATCAGAAACAAGAGTGCCAACAAACTGGTCATAGATTGATAAACTTGACGAATCTCAAATAATTGTAATTTTCAAATTTTTAAGATTAACAAAAGCCTACTTTCAACACCAGACGATATATAATATCGACTATTTCATTACTGCCTTTTGCTTCTTTTGAAAATGCTGCGACTTGCAAGATTTACACTCCTTGGGCGAGAAAAGCCTTGAAATAATGATCCTCAGTAACATGATATAACTAAATTTTCTTTTTTTTGGTCCAGTCAAAATTGAAGATGAATTTAAAGAAAACTAAAAGGCCGTTACTATTTGTGCGAGAGAACATGTGCGACGCTGTTTTATTCATTTTTCTTCAACCTATAAAAAAATCAAAGTACCGTAAATATAACATATAATGGTGATTTCTATAACCTGAGAGAGGTAGCTTTTATAACTAAGAGCTCCAGTATTTTTTAATGAGTTTCCATTTTTCTTTTATTCGTCTCTTTGAAAGACATTTATGATGAAAAATATTAAATTTGAATTTTTAACTCGTACATGTATATCTCGCAAACTTTCGAACACTGCTTCCGCGATTAAAAGGCTGTTGATCGCTCCACACATATTTTTGTCATGGTACCAGTCACAAATGACCTTTAGCTGTCGAGGTAACTAATTTTCTCCACACACTACGCGGCTGGTCCTGTTTTCATAATGAGCTGGTAGTTATTTGAAGACCTTGTTCTTGAACACAGCTTTTACGAACAAACTTCTGTTGAGAGCTGAAAAGTTACAACAGAACAGAAAAGGGATCGTTTAAATTATACGTAAAATGCAAGATACATTGGTGAAATCGTGAGGATTCGAACCGTAGTGAGTTCAGTGAATGTCAGAGTTTTTTTCGTTCGCTTGGTTACATCGCCTCACGTCATTAAGAGACGACAAAGGATGACTTTTTATGTTTAATTTCTCATTGAATTTGTTTTCATTTCACTTTTATAAACCGAGTTTTTCCGAACGAAAAATCATTCCATAATTATCACACAAATCAGAAATCACACTTATAGCCACAAAATCTATAAATTTCAAATTTTAATGAAGACTTATTGAACACTTTTATCCAAGGATCACTTGGATTCTTTTGAAATCCGAACACGTCGAGGATGGCTGATCAACCGGAGTCTTTTTAAAATGTTAAATGAAAGTTGTTTATGAACCAAATGACTCAAATCACCAAGTGTGTGCACGATCCTGACTGAGCTAACATTCCTTTTCTTCTCGTAGATTTTATGGCTTCATTCAGTCGCACTTCCCGGTCACTGACCCTTGGAATATTAGTTATATTTTACTTAATCCACTGTCTCCATGCCCAGCAACCCCAACAGGCACAGAAGCCTCACATCATTATGATTGTAGCCGATGATTTAGTAAGTATATTTTATTTTTTTTTCCTCAATAAAGTTACCCTAGAGATTGAACCTTCCACGTATGCATTATGTAAAAGGAAAAACGTTTGATTGATTCTTTTTTATCTCTAACGCGTTCGAAGAGCTGTTTAATTTATCTTCAATATCTCAGGTTATTTTTAAATTATTTTCTTAAAACCTATTTCTTTTTATAAGATAAAGGAAAAACGATTTTTTTTGGGGGGGAGAGGGGGGAGAGGGGGAGTGGATGACTGTCACACCACAGCGTTGAGATACGAACTAAAAGCAATCAGCGTCAAATTTTATTAAGAAGCAAGCGGTCAATGTCACAAAAATCGAATTCATAATGAACTCAAATTTAAACTGATAGGATCTGGGCGCAAATTAAGAGTGTGCTTACGATGCAGTCTCTGGATAATCAACAATTATTTCATGAGCGCAAGTTGGACTTGAGATGGTAAATAGCCAACGAGGCGCGTAGCGTCGAGTTGGCTTCAACCAACAAGAAAAATAATTGTTTAATTAAATTTTGTTAAATCCCGAACGTTTTAATATTTGGAGCCTGTTTTTTAGCTCTGAAATAGGTGGCGCAGCACATTTTCATATGAGGTGACGCGGATTATGAGCTGATAACCGGAGCTGGGTGAACCCATCAGAACACTAGAAATGCAATATTCAGAGTTCAAAATTTAATCAGTCTGGATAGGGAATGAGTATCCACCACAGCTATGAATCAATTTTTAACCACTCATCTCATTTTATCATCACTCAATTCTACTTCGGGGGCACATTTCTAACAAAGCTGTGTCTTTTTCAGGGCTGGGATGACGTCAGTTTTCACGGCTCGCCACAGATCCCCACGCCCACACTTGATGGCTTGGCAAATTCCGGGGTAATCCTTAACAATTATTACGTATCCCCGATTGACTCACCCTCCAGGGCTGCGTTCCTGACTGGAAAATATGCCTTGAATTTAGGTAAGAAATAAGTATTTTTGGATTAGACTATTTCAATTGAGAGTAATGATATATATTCAAAAATTGAATTGCAATCACGAAGGCAAGTCTGATCTCGTACCCGGATTCTCAAGCTTAGTTGGCTCCGCGTGAGATCTTGGCACTTAGTAAAGGCCATATAGAGGAAACTCACGCGATGCACCAAGCGAAGAAAAGTCAGTAAGGCCGGGCGATTATCGATGTTTTCATTCATTTGTTGCTCGCTTGAAATGCGCCATAAAAGCGCGTAACAGATACGTAGTGCGCAAATGATAGAGGGCATACATGGGGCGTCTAAAAAGGAACCAGCAACTTTGAACAATCTTGTGCTTTTTCCTAAAAATTTTCAGGCCTTCAACATGACACGATACATAACAGGCAACCATATGGAGTGCCACTAAAGGAAAAGCTTCTGCCGGAATATTTGAGACAGTTAGGTTACTCAACCCACGCTGTAGGAAAGGTAAACTTGTGGTGATTATAAAATATATGTATTTTCTCAGTTGGCCGAAGTAAAGCGATTGGTTACTTAGGAAAAGGAAAGACTTTTTTTTTAACAGAAAGCTTTGGTCTTTAAAAGCACAAACAAGAGGTCATAAGAATGGCGTGACAAGTTTTTGCCAAAGTACTGAACGACTGGTTGAGTTTTTTCGTTGCGAAAGGCAGCACTGCATAACTACACAATATTAGTTTAGCAAAATAAGAAATAAAAACACCAAACTGGGGAAAATTAACTAAAAGTAGCATAGAGAAGATTACCAAGGATTACAAAATCAAGGCCAGACTGCTTAAAGAAACGGACAAGTGCCGCAAAACTCCATTGACCGGCACAAGTGTTCACGAACCTCTGTTTTACGTTAATTTACCTTTGAATTCCATGAGTGCAACACTAAGCTTCGATCCCATTTTGTCGTAATCAGTAATCTGCTCTCTTCTCGCAGTGGCAGCTGGGTTTCTTTGCCAAGGAATTTACTCCCACTTACAGGGGGTTCGATTCCTTCTACGGCTTCTTGACGTCGGGACAAGATTACTTTAGTCACGTGTCTTATGACGGAAGCTATGGGTTGGATTTACGACGAAACTTGGACGTGAGTAATTTAAGCATTATTTGGGGTTCATAAAGCACTTTGTGATGATTTTAAAAAATTCTTGTTTTCACTTTTGTTATTTATTTCACAGTTTGTTATTTACTCCGGATTAATTGTTCAAAAAGAAAAGGAAAACCTATCGCACGCGAGATACATTGGCTACAGTAAAGCAGAATAGAAAAACTTAACTGCATAAGGTGCTTAGACAACAAGCAAGTAGATGGATGACATCTAAGTTGCATGAAATATTCGTGCAACTTTAGAACTAGCCAGCGAGCAAGCCTTTATTATTAGTACTGTAAGACGCGCGTTTTTCCGTATGCGGGAAGATTTGAGACGATTCGGGGAGAGGTTTGCCGCCATGCAGACTTCTTACCGCCTTGTGCAGCTCAAGGCTTCTTACTTTTGAAGAAACGCCCGTGCTGAAGGTCTAATGATGAGGACCAGCTCGCAAGCTACAGTAAAATGGAGGATAACACCGAACGCTTGCGATATTAACGCAAGTTCTGCGGAGGAAAATGATTATAGCATTTTAACTGTGTCCGCTTTTGTTTTCAGGTCGTGTACAATGAAACAGGTACCTATGGCACAGACCTGTTCACACGCGAGGCTGATAAAGTACTCAATGATCACGACGCCACCAAGCCGTTGTTTTTGTACTTTGCCCAACAAGCTGTTCACGTTGGTAACCAGAATAACCCTCTTCAGGTGCCAAAGAAATACCTTGATCGGCTGGGATACATCGGAGACGAGAAAAGAAGGACGTTTGCAGGTAATGAGATGATGACAGAGCGCTTTACGATGATGTGTCAAAAAACAAAACTTAAGTCAAGCAAACGTCCAATCAGAACGAGGAAAAACGGTGACAAAGCTAGGGAAAATTGATTGTAAAAACTAGTACCCTGTGGCGCGAGGAAACGCTAATGACAGAGCGGTGATTGATTTTAGTCTTGTTTCTGATTGGTTGAAAAGATGGGAGATGAGATTTCTAGATCAATCACAGAGCGCGTGAAATCACACAATCCAGGATTACTTCTTCATATTACGAAAGTTTTATTTCAAGAACTTCTCTTTGACAGGTTCATCATTAACTAGTGCGAGGTTCATAGGTTTAAAATAGAGAAATGAACGTTTACTCGTTTGTCTCACGATGTATAGACATTTAAGAGTCGACGCGTAAACTTACGACTTCGTTGCCTGACGAAGACCAGCAGCATAGCAGTCAAAACGTCGCGATCAATACAGTTGATAGTTTGACTCTACATTGTGAGACAAACGATTAAACGTTCGTTTATCTATGTAACCACGATGAACAGCATCATCTTGCATAGCAAGATCCCAAATACTTCCTCGGTTGTTGCACTTGCACCTGATCAGTGCACATTTATTCTTTCAGCTCAATTCTCAGTCGCAATTCTAGAATATCAAATTTTTAAAAGACCACTACAGTAGCCTTCTAAAAAATTCCACAGTAGATTTTTCTTTTTGTGGATGCCAAGGACTCATATGATACAATAACCCACGCAATATTTGCTTTGCACTATATAAACTTTATGCACCAAAATCTTCGGTTTTCTACAGGTATGGTGTCAGCTCTGGACGAGTCGGTTCGACAATTAGTAACAACATTGAAGAAGAAAGGACTCTACGAGAACTCCATCATAATCTTCACCACCGATAACGGAGCAGCCGCTGGTGGATTGGACAACAGTGCAGGCTCAAACTACCCGCTAAGAGGTGCCAAAAATACTCTATGGGAAGGAGGTGTCCGCGCAGTTGGATTTATCCATAGCCCACTCATAAAGAAGAGAGGTAAAACTAACTTATTAATCATTTGCTGATTATGAAATACGAAGTGATATTTACAATTATGCATTACTCGCGTTCCAGGTCGAGTTTCAACTGCCTTACTGCACGCTTCCGATTGGCTTCCGACCGTCTACCATCTGGCCGGCGGCGACGTGAAAGGCCTGGGATCCATCGACGGATTCAATGTATGGGAAACAATTTCCAGCGATGCCCAGTCTCCAAGGTACGAGATCCTACACGGTCTGGATTCCATGAAAGAGAAGAGGGCAGCTCTGAGAATTGGAGACTACAAGATGATAGTACATCAAAACCGCAGTTTCTATAGTGATTGGTACCCAAGACCAGAGAGTCAGCGCGAGTTGGACCAGGCTCCTAAGCCAAGTGTACTCAAAGATGCGGCAGTTGATTGTACTTTAAAGCACCCACATCCTCTTCTGTACACAAAAGCACCGATTTGTAACCCCGAGTTGAAGCCTTGTTTATTCAACATCAAGTGGGATCCATGCGAATACCACAACCTGGCAGATTTTATGCCAAACACCTTAAAAGTCATGATTGACAGGCTTAAGTTTTACTATCGAAAATCTTCACCCGCGACATACCCTCAAGCAGATGACAGCGCAAATCCTGATCAGCACGGAGGAGTCTGGGGCCCATGGCGGGACTCACCGGATATTGATCAGACAATGAATGATTACGTGTATCCGAATTCATATTATGATTCACCAAAATTTTCCCCTGGCAATCCTTCCAAGAGCCAACTCAATCATTTCTTAAGCGACCAGGTGACTGCTTCCGCCCCGAAGAAGGAAGCAGCCCCCACAGAGGTCGAGGATATCATCATTAATTTCCGAGATCCAAATCAAGGTAAACCCGCTACCCTAGCAACAACAGCAAAAACCGCTCCCACACCAACCACGGCACCCCCAGCTGTCATGACGGAGTCGACTGCTTCTACAGCTTCACGATTCACACCTCCACCTTCCATTCCTCCGGCGATCGTCTCCGATGTGCCGCAGAAGAAGCTGGATTATTCAGCACAGAGGCCGCAACCCTTCCGACCGACCGGATTCCTCAAAGGTTTCTTCCAGCATCAAACTGTTGACTTTCGTCCCAGTCCTAAACCAGTGCAGCTCATCCCTGACACTTTGAAACAAGTAGAGCACATGGTGCAGGAGGAGCACGACAAACCTGTTAAATATTTCAACCCGATGACTGTAAAGCCGAGCAAGAAAATGCCCGCAATACACGCATGGCCAACTCAACAGTCTCTCGTACCAGAAGACGTTCAGAACGTTGTCAAACAGAACGGGTTCTCAAAGCACCTGGCATCGAGCCACGTGGAGGAAGTTTCTTTGATTCCAACACAATCGCCTGTGAAATTAACTCACAAGGTGTCCATGTTCGGTTCACACTCGGACAAGATAAGCACACTGCCAGAAATTCTCGACATAATCGATGAGTCCACGTCACCAAGCGCGTTCACGGCGGGAGGTAGCGGACAGCGCGAGATACCGAAGATATTCGATATTATAGACGAAGCGCACAAGCAGCAGAGCAACGTCAAAGAATTAACTTCACATAAAGAAGGGCCAATAGCAACTAGCAAACCACTGACCAGCAAAGACGTAGGCTCAGGTATGGGTGTAGGCCTGACTGGACTACCGGACGGAATCTCAGTGTTCGGCAAACTGGGAGATAAAAAGATTCTGTCGAAATCGCACGACGCCAAGGCTAAAGGAAGGGAGCATATTGTGGCGAAAGAGAGACCTGACAAAGAGAAGAAAAAGCCGGCAGTTCATAAATTCATCGGTAATATTACCATTGACGGTCGTCGCTATCTTATCATGGGAACAGAGAGCGAAGAGTCAGATTCAGTCACCACACACGTTCAAGGCGACAGAATTACTCTGCACCTTCCCAAAGCGAAGAAAACCAATACTCACAGTCACAGCCACAAGATCAAAGCTGACAGCAAAACCCCAGAGAGCCCAGACAGTAAATCTGAAATCGGAGAGATCACCGATTACATTGACATGGATGAAGATGACAGTGCTAAACCCAAAAACAAAACACTGGCTGCTCATGACATCACCGCTGTGCAGACCGCGGGCAATAACACCAAGTGCGAGAAAGTCGTCCAGCTTGATACATCCGACAATGCTGTCGTTGTGTCCTCGGTCGTGATTGTCGTGATTGCTTCGGCAATGGTCGTCGGTGTTGCTGTTGTTGCTATGGTTGCGGTGGTCGCAAGACACTGCCAAAACGCTAGGAATTAATTCCATTTCTTTTGATTATTTTTTCGCAGAGAGCTGAAATATTTTTATTGTTAAGTAAACATGTGATTTGCAATGTACAAAGAATATCGAAATGAAGTGTTGATGAAAACATGAAAACATCTATATTCCAATTTTTTTTCCATTTGTATGTCGCTCTTTGCAACTTCAAGAGCTGTAGAAGGACTATAGGTTTAATTGAATCACTTTAAAGTCAAATTTGTTTAAGTTATCATTTAGTTTTCTCCATTTTTTTTTGAACTAAGGTTCTAAAAAGAAAAAGTAGAAAGCGTCTCTTTCAAATATCGCCAAATCAAAAACTGTACCCACGAGAATCACAAGGGTAAGAGATACTAAAAAATTCTTTTTGGTCCTCAAATGGCACATGAAGGTTTTGCATTGCATTTCATTAAATTACAACAAAATTAGTCAAAAAATATTACACAAACATCGATGATATCTTAAATCTAATTTTCACATACATATATCGACTATATTGTTTAGGCGTTAAATATTTTGAGGTGCTTTTACTATGGTATCAGCCGTTATTCGTTTTCTCTTTTTTAACAAAAATAGGCTGACATGAAGTGTGAAAACACGAAATGTTTGAAGAAATTGTGGATCTTTCCTAGATGTGACGTCATCACAACACATTGCATCATTTTACAAATTTAGAATTATATTTTCTGAAATCCACACTGTTATCAAGCAAAAAACAAACAAATAATTCAAGGCGAGTTATGGCTCAGAGAATGTTATTGTAATCTTTTACCTGTCTAGAAGATCAAACGTTGCGTTTATTGTAATCTGTCACGAGAGAAACTAATAAAGTAGTCTGCATGTTGTGTCATTCGGTTTTCTGTCCTTTACTTTATTGATGATTTGTTTACATCTGATGATCAGAGGTATTTGGGTCTGGAAATTTATGTTCGAAGGAACTGCGCTCATATACAATTGCTATATAATGCGTTGAAGAAAGCAGATTAAATGTGATCTGATCGAGTCCGAAACTGATCCGGAACTTACACAAACATGATCCACGATGTTACAGTTATCAATAAAGAATTATGCCGGCATTCTTCTGCCACCAAACCAGGCCGACAAAGTTTCAAAATATTTTTGGTTCATAAGCAATTTATCCGCTTGCAGCCTGATAAGTCAAAAATGTAAAAAAAACGTTCAACTTAGAAGAGTCTTTCTCACTGATTTTTTTAAAACCTTGATAAGGCTTGATGTACCTAACACAGACTTAGCGTTTGCATGAGAATCTGAAAACATGAACGACATCTAAGATTCGAATCAGCTAGTTCTCCTTTGAACTGGTTAAGGGAAAGAAAGGTCAAGAAACGATCACGGTTTTTCGCACCAGGTATTTTTTAGCTACAAGGTTTTATCGACTATTAAAACATGGTGGTGCTTTCGCATTTTACTTATAAGTATGGTACTTATTTTTCAATATACAATATCGGATGAGAACATTACTGTAATCAAGAGTTTCCTTGATTACAGAATCCTCTTAATTTCTTTGTGTCTTGGCATAGTTGAGATTTTTTTTCAGTTAAATTCTGTGTCTTGTAGTTCTTGGCAACCCTTTAAGCTGAAGCAAGAAAGATACGTGATGTGGTACAAAGGATTTGGATTTATAACGCCTTCAAGATCCTTCAGTCTCCTGATTTATTTACACCGACTTAAAGAGGCGTTGCCCTATAGGAACAGATAAGAGAACATTCTGGAATAAAACAACAAGTTCTTTTCCAAACCACAACACAATGTAAGTTACCCACGTATCTCCGAAGAATGTTCGAGATGGATTATGTATATGCCAATTCAGATACCCTACATTTATCGACGAGGTACGAAGAGAAAGATTGCTTCAGAAAAAAAGGAATCCTCAACTCTAGAGAAAATCTTCTTATCAATTACTGTATTTAGGATCAATGTTCCCTATGCTATGCAATAGAAACCGTGAATTAAAGGATAAAGCCTCGTCATGCTTGCATGAAACGCAGTTACGCAAGTCTGATGACCTCTTATAATCTTTTTGTCCCCATCTTCCGTGATCTCTCATACCAATACAGGAATTAAACGTGCTATCTTCTTGTCAGTGACACAAGCTCTTAGGAATTTCCTTTAATGCATCCAATTATCCTCACGAGATTCAGTATAGATGATGATAACTATCTGTGTATCTGTTTAGCCTCATTTTAAAAAATCATAATTTTTCGTGATGTTTTCCTCAAATTTAACCAGTGCCGCTCATTCGAGCTAGTTCGTATTTCGTGTTCTAGCTTTTAGGAATTAGTTTTAATGTCAGATATGTTCTGATAACCCTGGTTTTTGTGCAACGGTTCAGATTGTACGTTTGAAATATCTCCCTGCGCAGGATGGAGATAATTATATATAAAGCTCTGATTAGGAGACTTAAGCAAGAGAGAGACGATGTCGATTCGCATATTATACTGAAAGCAGATTTCAAGGTCTGCCAAAGCCGAGTTGTCACTTCATTAGTGCAAAGTCTAGCCTTTGTAAGTTAGAGAAACCTGCGAGATCATTCCTTTTTCTTCACGTTCCTACGTAGAAATATCATGCATCGTTTCCAAGCACGATTATGCTATATGACCAGACTTTCTTTCAGCCCTAAAGAGGTCGGATGTATTTGCGCATAGAGTGCTAAGTAACACCGTTGTGTTGAAAGAGACAAGACTCACCGAGCATCATTTCGGCCGGAAGACACGAACGAATGCTTTCGAAGAACAATCTATTTTCTGTGCTATTGGCAAATTCAGGAAATCCTTTCATTAATCTCATTTCTTGTCTTCTTCAGTTGGATCCTGCTCGTGGTAGACGCACGCGAAATTTAACATAAGTCACTAGGCAGTTTGGCAAGCTTGTTGCGGTATAAAAGGTTCATAATGAGGACAAACTTCTATTCTGTTCTATTGAACAGTAGAGTTTCTGAGAGACTCTCTTTCTAATAAAGCTGTCTCCAAAAGAATGCTTCATTGCGCTTTCTAACTCAAACCGTTCTGTTTTGACGATCAACGCCTTATGAAATGAACCAGACCTTTTTTAATTTAATGCTAGACCTCTTTAAAGAAAAAGTCCAACGAAATACTAGGTTCATTTTGGATCTGATGAGACAAGGCCGAAATTTTCACGATGTGAAGCATCAGTAGGGCTTTCTCATTTTATCCTTGACATTAAACATAAATTCAAAGTACTTTGATGGTTACGAAACACTCCTTTTAGGGCAGACCCAAGATGCTGTCTAATAGTAACGAGAACTTCCCATGCTTTTAGGAAAGTTTTAACAATTTTGATTTGCAATAGCTAACTTGGTGATTCCCTTTGCCCACTGATTGGTCCAATTCTCGTGCACCAATCAGATTTACTTCTTAAAGCAAAGCGCATGCACACGGTTGTCGTCCGATGCTCCCGCGTGGCTCTCGCGTGGCTCTCGCGAGATTCCTATGACGAGCATTTCGTTGATATTGACCGACTTAATGCGTTGTCCTTCGATCTTATCGCGACTGGCATCTTAAATTACTTTTGATTGTGTCGTTCCATACTGTCTACGTTTAGTTTTTTACTAATTCACACCATAAGGACCTATTTGTTTTAAATTACCTGTTTATTTACGCTGATGGGAATTAGTCTCGGAGATAAAAAGATATGACATTTTGCTATAATTAACCGTTTATGTATTTTTATCGTTTAGTAGAGATATCCTTTAAGGATAACCTCAGGTAATTTGTTTCTTCATAGTTATTCAGTCGTTTTGATTGCGACGCTTTAAGCCTGTCTTAATTACTATTATTAATTGTACGTCTACAAATTTAGATTTTATCGCTATGTATGTACGAAAACCCATCCGTCTATATATAACTCAACCATTTATAAATACATATTGAGAGATGGATAAAAATTTGAAGTAATTTCACTACGGTTACGACATAAGACAAACCTTCAATTTCTTTCCAATTACCTACCTTCGAAAGATATCTATTTGACCTTTCAAATCTGAAAGAAAAATAATTAAATGAGAGTTCTAAATTTATCGCGAAGGTTTAATCCAATTAACGATGCATCAAAAACTAAACAAACCGCTTTTAGAATAAGTGATAATTGATGGACAAAGACAACGTTTGTTAATTTACCTAAATAATTACTGCAGTTAATTCAAAAGCTATTAATGCGAAGCTGTTGTCATCGTGTTCAATAACTAAGGAAATTAGATTACAAAGAACCGTGAGAAAGTAAGCGCTTCGGATGAGTTATCACGCAATCTCAGAAGATTCCGGCATGGCCATCTTCCGCTGAAAAAATAAATAACAAACCACTGATGACAGGGAAGTGTGACACGTTAGCCAATTAGATGGGGTTACAACCTCATTTTTGTATTTCAAATTGTGATTATTTGCGCATGGAAATCATTTGAGAAGTAATGTTCACGTTTGCTGTCTGTATTTAGCGTGCACGATCCGTGAGAGATAAAGCTGTCGGCTTAAACGCCGTCCCTTTCCGTTTTTAATTCGTTTCCGAAGAGAAGCGAGCATATCATAACTGGCCAAAGTAAAACAGTTTTCGGCGGCGTTTAACCCATTTTCGTCAGCCAGTCTATCAGCAGTCATTCATTGTCGGCTTACTGTCTCGCGTTCTACACCAGCCGGCTGCATGAAAGACATCGTAGTAAAATTAACTGGAGATTAAGCAATGTTTGTAAATTAATAGCTTTCAGCCCAAACAGAGTTCTTCTATCTTTTCTATCTACATAACAAATCCTTTGTTTTTTCAGCCGGCCCTAAACTAATAGTAGTTAATTTAAGTTCATTGTTATTTTTAGCGCAATGATTATCTAGATGAATAACGAGATAATGCAGAGAGGCGACGAAGTGAACAAATATGAAGAAAACTCACTACTGGCCGATAGAAATAACATAATTTGTGGAAATTTTCTAGAAATATGAATAAAGAGATGCATCCTAGCTTAGCTTGAACAACTTGCAATTCGAGGCAATAAAGGAATAACATTTAAAATGCTTTCAATCAAGTTTACAACTAGTATTTGCTTTACTATTCAGGGATTTACTCGGTTAAAACAACAGATTACTGCTTGATTGGAATAGCTTTGTGTATAATTTGGATTCATGTCAAAATCACCGGCCGGATTCTTAAATGGCATTCAAAAGAGAATCAAAATTGAGCTTGTACAGTTTGAAAGACGTACCAATTGCACAAGATACTACCTAGTGTCAACTATCAATCGTCTTCATAGTTTCAATTTTTGCACACCAAAAATTCCAAAATTTTGAAAAACGCATTCATAGTGCGCTTTTTTTTTCTCCAAGTCTAGGCCTTAATTAAACAATAAACTTTTCTCATTTGCTGCAGAGGGTGTTCATTTAAAATTACGCAATCCATTTTAGAAGTAATCCAGATTTCTGCCAAAACCGTAGTGATGAAAATAAATTTAGAAAGTTTAGACGCGCAGTTTTTTCACAGTTTACTTTCTATTTCGTTTTAAACATTGTTCCAAAACTGCAGCCTCACAGTCTGATCTGTGCCTGATAATCACATTATTATGACGAACGGAAATTTGCAGAAAAAAAAAGAAGACAATTGAAAGGTTATACTTTGAAGAGGACTTAGAAGTGTTTTTTTCCTATTTTTTCGGTGCTGTTGTCTTCCCATACTACTTAACCCACTTCTGCGCTGATAAATACTAAGAGCCGCAATTCATATATTGTTCATGATAAGATATCTAAGCAGGAAATGTTTGTCTGGGAAACTCGTAAAAAAAAAAGCTCGAATTTTTCCCGAAACACTTCGCAATTTTGTTACCAAGTATCCTCGTTGAAAACAGTAACACATTGCTCCCTCAATAACTAAGTATTTCCTGGTTATATTTCTGTCCTTAAATACTGGCACGTAACAGTTTGAAGCTAAAAGTCGTGTTTTCTCATCAACAGATATCGAGATGATAGAACTATCAAGAAAAATTGGTTCACGTAAATTGAAGCTTTTTTAACCCATCCGGTCTTTCAAGGGAACGTGCATAATTTCTCGCCACAACTGTATAGAAGGTTACGTCAAACCGTGATCTTGACCTGCGATAGCCGCGTCACTAAGTAACCGGCAACACCTTTTACATACCGGTAACTAATTGTATCCGACGATGTCTAGGAAAGGGAACTCGACAAATCAAATGAGGATAACGCATTAAACATGACTAATCAAAAACAATGTTTTTATCTTTCCAAAAAATAGAGCTATAAGTTAAAATGATTTAAGTCAATGGTGTCTGTTATCTTTTTCTGAATTTCAAGACCGAAGGGCTTGCCTCAAAGAAGCAATTCCTGCTTAGCGGATAATTAAAAATATCCCATCGGTAAACAGAGTGAGAAAGATGAAATATTTTGAGCTCGATCAACGAATGTAAAAGCTCGTCAGTTGCCGGGTCCAGGGTAGGACAAAGAACTGAAAAGCCGAGTCGTCCAAGAAGAGTCGACCGGCAGACCTTCGGATTTTGTGGCGCAATGCCCTTCCACTGCTACTCTCCCAGACGTATTTGTTGGGAAATCAACTGCCTTCCCTGCTCCTCTTAATGTTTGTCTGCAAGATGACAAAGACAAATAAGAAATAAACAGCGGAGGGGGGAGGAAGACGAAGCAGACATTACAGAAGTTGTTCTGGAGAAGTGTCCCAACTAATTATGTCTGGAAGTGTGGGTCACATACTTTATTCACGAGGGACAAGCGCCCTGAATTTCAAAACGATAGGACCAACTGAGTATCAAAAGCGGTTTAACTGTAAACAATCAGAAGATGTTGGAATATTTTGAGTTCGGTCAACAATCACAGAAAGCTAGGATGTTATTCACGTGTTCTCTCACGTGTAAAAACTCGCAGAACCTGCTAAGGAAGAACACAAATCACTCATAAAATTCAAGAACTTTCTACAAATTTAAGTTGCGACTGGTTGATAATTTTCTGAGACAGTAATCCATGTAATCCTTGTATAGTTATTTCTAAAGTCCGCCGCAAACATAATCGCCGTTCCACGTGACTCTTGGACTATGAAACGAGCTAACCTTTCGTGCCTTTGGATTTCATTTTATTGTCCCCACGAAGTTTCAAAGTCTTAACAAAAAAGCAGTCATAAACCAAGAAACGTCCTGCCTTGCATCCCTCTTATTGAAGAACTGGCCAGTATTACTTGAAATGTAACATGAATTACAAAAACAACTTGAAGAAACTTCGGGAATTGAGACATTAAAAAATAAAAAGGAGAATCTGCTTTGGCTGAGAGTTCTAAGTATTTAGTAACGATATTGCATAAGTAATAAATCAGATCGAAAGATCAAGTGTAAGCCATCTCAGACATTTAATGTAGCCCGAGGTGACCGTATCTTGAAATTTTGCGTTGGAATCTTCCCTAACTAGTTATTGAAAGGCCAAAAATACTTCCTAGCAAACGACTTGAAAAAGAAGCATTCCACACTCGATAGGGGCTACTTTGAAAAATGTTTTAGTCATTCGCCCAAGGGTAGTGAGAGTATCGGGGTCTTTTATGATGAGTTAGGAATTTCAAGCGGTCTTCGCCTGCATCAGTCATCAGGTCTTTGAGTTCTTCATTAATCGTCTCTGTCATGCTGTGAAACGTATCATGACTATTTCAAAACAATATATCATCTTATATTAAAATTTTTAACCTTGTTAGTGGATCAAAAGTCTCAAAGAACTCCGCAGGCGGCGCAGGATGGATAGCATACAAGGACGCTTGGAAAAAATTACACTTCATCTGTTCGGACATCCTCCACGGACTCATTTATTTCAAAAGGAAATGAAATAACTATTGTTTTGGGTTTCAGGAACTCAAAATTGTTTTCTATATACTTTGGCAAGAAACTCTTACCTCGTGACAACCATTAATCACTGAACAAGGAAGAGTTTAACAAAGAAGTTTCCGAGCTCGCGATAACATTCCTTTGCTAAGATAATCTCTAAGAACGGCTCAAACCCGCACGTTTTTTCCTTTTGCAGAATTTTCTTAAAGTTCTAATCCGTTCGGAGATATGATATATAACTTAGAGATGACAATGTCTTACGCCCACATCTGCTCAACAAGCATTCTTCTAAACGTTTATAAGAGCTAGTACCATTTTAATTACAATTTTTTAATGCAAAACATGAGGTGAAGTTTAAAAAACGTTGTTAAACACTCGGAAAGCCGCTAAAGACAAAGAAAACATGTTCAGAAATGCTGGTGGAAACCTTAAGAATATTACTTCCATCTAGAAATTACTATCAAACGGTTTTCACCGATGAAAAAATAAACGGATAGACACCTGAGATCGCAAGGGCATTAATTCCAGATAAACTCCATGTTGACGGTTGTTTTCTGGTTGTTTATTTAGCAATTAGTAAAATAGAAGGAAAAAGTATATTTCTTCAAGTAAAAAAAAAGGTCAAGAGGTCTCATTTCTAGCAGCAAAAAAAGATTCAAAGGGTGTACCTGAAAAGCCTCCAAAAAAAGACAGTTTGAAGTGTCAAAAGACTTCCCATCTCTATCATTCAGTTGGATCTGATACACGTACAACCTCACAAAGGGCGTGAGGTTACAATAACAACGGTTGCACTCTTTATCTCATAAACGTTAAAATGAATCAATTTTCCGGCGATGAAGTTCAACAGTGTCGCGGTCTAAGTTTACAAAGTACTCTCAGCTAAACTGCTTAGGATCGCGTGAAATTTACAAATTGACGCCAAAAAAACTGGTCACCTGATCCGCCGAAGGACTGACCGCAGTATAAGTTTCGCTGAGATGTCTACACTTCATTAAGGGAATATATACAAATTCTCTTGTGAAGAGCGTTAACTGATTCACGTCAACAGCATTCGACACGTAGCTATTCAACTGCTGATTATCCTGACGGACGGAAAGAAGACGGTGAACTTTTAACAGGCAGTGGTAGCAGCTCATCCCGTTCAATCTGCGTCGTGGAATCCACTTATTTTTGAACCGGCGTTGGGCCGATTTTAAGTCTTATTTATCCGAGATTTGCATTTAAGCCTTCAATTAACAAATTGCCTTGGATTCAAAGCCGACAACAGAAGCTCCAACGTTTCTAAAGAGCTCTCAGTTTTGAAAGCAAGTTGGTTGCACAATGAAATCTTTTCTCTTCCTTTCACAGATTATCATTGTCTTACTGCTGTTCCATATAAAAGGTTTGAATGTCCTGTTGTTTAGGGGGCGCTTCTAACTATCTGAACGTTCTCATTAGACGGTTTGCTATTGTGTTGCCTCTTTTTGCTTTTCATGCGGCTGAGCACAGATGTCCAGCCAAATGCTGTGTTTGTCCGGCAGTTGTGTAATAAAACAGCATCTGTTTCCACTTGCTTGTCGAGCGAACGTGAAATGACTTGCTTCTGAGCATGAAGCATTGTTCAGCTGGACTATTAACTCTACTTATTACATGCATTGCTTACGCTCGTCGTTACAATTCAGTCCTACAGGGCGCTAACAAGCTGGAAGTGGAGTTAGATCTTCAGTCAGGCCGAGTGATACCCTCAGTCCATGCTGCTAAATCTCAGGTAAGCTTCATCGTCCAGCCCACTGCTGCTTCCCAACCGGATCGTTGCGATGGTCAAGCAGTCGTGCGTCTGGACTTCAACGGACCGTTCAAGAAGGCCAAAATCGAACTTATCTATGGTGAAGAACCTCGTCTTTGGACTGCAACCATATCAAATGTCCCAACAAGCTATGGCTTCGGTTCGAACTTCAACTACTCAAGCAATTGCGCAACGGCTGAAATATTCAACCACCAATTTCGAGTCTACAGTAACAAGCTACCTGGCTTTAGGTTTGACTCCCAAAATGGAAATTCTTTGATGGTTACAGAGGACGAAGTTGTGGAAAATGGAGCCAATATGACAATCGACATCGCGAATGAAGCAATAACCTGGGAAACGCACTATGTTAATTCTTCCAGCTACTTCCACATCAAAAACAATCGATACCTTTTTTCACTCTCAGGACAAAAGCCAACGTTCGGTCCACCCTCAGACGGATATATCTATGCGGGGTTCAACCGAGTTCCCTACGGGAATTTTCACAATGGATCAGGTCTTTGTAGGGTTCGCATCACATTCAAGCGGGATTTGGGCAAAGGTAAGATAAAGATGACGCCATTTTTAACATTTTATTTCAGGTGGTAAGACGCGCGCAACGAGCTCAATATGAAGATGTTTTGGGTTGTCCGCTGAGTGTGGATTATCAGTAAATTGCTCATTTCTTTGTTTACTTTACCAAAACGTTTCGCGGATAGGAGGAATATGTTTTGCGTGGGAGGAATTTAAATTAGCAAGGACGTGTTAATTTGTAGCGATTGATAAGCGTGCAGCCCTCCACTCAAAGTTTTCAACGTTTGAATTGAATCCCGCGGATGAACTTTGCCATTTTGCTCAAACCCAGATGTCTGAGGGTGATGTGTTATTAAGATAGTTCCAGCGTTATGCTGTTTTATTTATCGCACTCTGTTGGCTTTTGATTGCATACTTGTCCAGCCAGCACTGAAAATATTTTGTTGTTCACACAACGTTTGTTTGACGAATTGCTTTCAGCGCGTGCTAAAAGAAAGTATCGATTTTTTTCCTTCTATTAATTTTGATCTATTACATTTTTGCACCGTTTATGAACGGGAAAAAATTTCGCTAAATGTTCTGTGACCTTGCCTCACGCAAAGTTTCTCGTCCTCACGCTGTTTTTTGGTCGGCATTACAAGCTATTTCTGCCTCCAGACAAATCCATGTCGCTTAAACATCACTCCAACTTTAGTGACCACTTACATATTTAGGATGCTAAAACTTGAAATGATAACACATTGAGACAGTTCCATAGTTTTTCCACAAAAGAGGCCGTCCCTCATCTGAACAACAACTTCCGGCAGAAAACACGTTTTTGGCGAGAAATTTCCGACAGAATTTGCCAAAAGAAACCGCCTGCAAAAATAGCATATTAAAACCCCACTTGGTGACAAGGAGAAAGAAATCAATACTGTGTTAGATATACAAATTAAAACTGGCCCTTTGAATTCCGCCAAGGACAAGCCTCTCGTGATCAAGAATTTACCAACAGTTTCATTGTAAGGACCCATTTCGCGTTTTAACCGGTGAAGTTTTGTTCGGGACTCTAATCTGAAAATAAAAGTCTTCATTATTACATTTCGTACCCAGGAAATCCAATACAGAGACAAAATTACATTTTAAAATGGTTATTTTCTTTGCCATTATGTTCTACTTAGCGGTATCGAAAACTAAGACGCACTGTAAGTTTACCTTACTAATCATTTTCCCAGATTTCATGTCAGCTTGACAGAAAGCAGACTACGGCGCATTCCAACTTGGTAAAGTGATTACTCTTCATTACACAACAAACACACAACAATTTTCAAAGTTCATTCTGACATCACCATGTACTGATAGCTACCCAACTATATTAAATCTTCATACCGCAGTTATATCACGATGAAATTTCTAATCGCAATTATTAAGCTGTTTGCGTAGAGGAAATCAGAAGAGATTTACATGACAAATTTTTTTTGTTTTGTTTTTTTTTTCTCGTTTAAGTTGCGTTTTGCGTAATTCTTGGAGTCTTCCTCGGATAAGGTCAGCGAAGGAATCTATCTTGACTTTATTTACCATTCCTTTGATGTCATTTTTCAAGTGCTTTGTTATTCCCGTTTCCGTCCATTTTTCATCTCAAGATATTAATAGTTCGATGACATCCTGCTCTCAGTTTCATGTGATTCTTTGAAGGCATTGATGTGGTTAAAACTTAAAGGCTCCTCTGGTTAAAAATCATGAGTCCATTCTGAAAGGCCAATATGAAGAAGACGGTCTATCGTTTTAATGAGAATCTACAAAAAGACACTCACGGGAGATATTTACTTATAACATGGATAGCATCTTTCGAGACAGTTACGAGCATACCGATTCGTCAACCGAATACACAGATCACATAATTTGGAAAGAATTCATAAAGAAAGTTAGTTCATACATCGGCATAAACTCCATGACAAAAAGAGCAAAAAAATTATCTTTAGAGAGATGTTAGACCACTCTTTGCGGGACTTTTGAAAGTTTTTTTATGTTTTAAGTCTTTTCAAACTTAACGAGGAAATCCAAGGACACTGTCCATATACACTTGGGCGTAAATTTGAAAGGATACATACTTGACATGAAACGCGAGCAAACTGAGCAGAAAGGAGACAAGATTTGGAAGAAATTTTAAATTTCGAGTGTTCTTCCCTTTCAAATCATAGGTATCTCGGTGCTTTTTAAAGTCAATAAGTTTTTAAACCCAATAAAACCTACAGCTAGAAATAAAATGTTACACTTGACCTACGAAGCCGAAATGATTATGGTGATAAAAAATAAATAAATAATGGAAATGATCCATTGGACGTGTAAGATGATTTTAGAGTGTTCTCAGAATTGTAAAAATTATACATTTCAATGGATCCTGTAGCCACTTGCTTAAGACGTTTGCAATGTTGTTTTTATTCTTTTGGAAAAAAAAGTCGAATGATCTATCATTGTTTATGTTACACATAAACTAGCTCATCGCATTGTGTCTCTGTGACTCAGTGGTAGAGCATGGGGGTTCGGAATGCGAGGGTCAGAGGTTTGTTTATTTCTGATAGGGACTCGGAATTCTATCTTCGTCTCAAGCCCGTGGCAAGACGAAAAAACATGATATGTCTACGTCAAATTTTTGGTAGGTTAGACACCTTAGGGCCTGAAATACACAGCTTAGTCCGGAAGGTTACCAGAGAAAACAAGTTTTATTTGATGTCAAGATCAAACTCGAGCTCCCGAGACACTTACAGGATTTTATGCTCTCAGTTGTTTTGAGATACTAGATACCTGAAAAGTACAGGGAAATAGAGAAGAGTGAAAATGCGCGGAACATTGCGCACCTCATGCGAATTATCACGACCTCATTAACATGCGACGCGTGCTTATTTTATGATTCATTCGCCACCCGTGCGGAATGTAATGAAGTCGCGTTATCATTTAACGCTGTATCAACTTTATCACTGCTTAAATGCCGGTTACCTTATGGCAGAGATGAGATACTTAATCTTGCTTATGTCTCAACAGCGCCAGCATTGTTGCGCCGGTAAGACTGAATAACACTTGACATACACTGGCGGATGGTGAATGAAACTGGAAAACGATAAAAATTGATTTCTCCGTGAAATCCAGTGTTAAAAGTAAAACTAGAAATACCGTGAAGGTTGTATGACTGAAAAAGCGTGGGGGTTAACGCTCAGATGTTGAAAAATAAATGCTTAGATCATTTGCTTTTTCCTTGACGGTTCATCAGCATCACTGATCGGTTTGAAGTAAGACATTTGTAATACGAGGTACCTTCATTCTTCAAAGACTTCATTCTTCAAAGACATCAAAGACATCTCTGGGTAGATTGATCAGAATAGTTTGGCAACCGACCATATTCAAATTAGTATTCAGTTCACGTGCGAACTGAATTTTCAATTTATTTGATGCCTTAACAAGTTAAAAGCTAACTGAGTTCCCTCTGAACATCATCTAATTGTGGTAATGGTGGATATCTTAAAGCAACAGGCTCGAAAAATTGGCAGTTCGTGGTATCGATGAATAGTAAAAAACCAACATTTAGAACATAAAACAGGATTCAAAACTCATTAGTGCCGCTGCAGCCGTGGCTCTCTTTTCACTCCGAAGATAAAGATTTTTTATTTCAGACAAAGCGTGCCTCAGGCTAGGGATAAATTCCAAAACGGCGCAACAGAGGGGAACGAACACACTGGGTGGTACAACGGTCCAACAGTTATCTGCGTTTTAACTCTTATCAAAAAAAATATCCTCGCCGTACGAAACTGCTCCCTTCTCTAAGAGTACCACAAAGATTACTAAAGTTGAAGTGGCTCTACTTAAAATCAAAACTTCTCTGAAGTGGAGCGTTTTGTGTTTCCAATGGTTTGCGAAATCGGGAGTTAAATTACAGGCCTTCGGTTCGAGTTATCGGACGGTTTAAAAGGACAGTTTGCTTAATCAGGACTTAACATCATGATCAGACAAACGCCAACGCTCACGCGACGTTTCCTCGTAGTAAGGAATCTTTTCGTGTCATCTGGCTCGAGTTTAATAGATAACATCGGTTCGTTGTCGATTTGATAGCGAAAGCCTCTTTATTTTGGCGTTTGGAAAAGCTTCTTTCTGAGCACCCGCCAATGAGGTCTAAACCCAGCGCCGGTGTCCAGACTAAACGAATAAGCGCTTGAGGTACTAAGAAAGCTGACTTGTCGTTTAATCACTCCCGATGACATCAGTTAATTTTCACTCCACCGACATAAGTGAATAGCTATCCATGTGACAATCAAAACTACAATGAAAAAACTTGAGAAATCAGAGTAAATGGAATAAATGTAAAGGATTAGAGTCAGATTTCACAAATGTTGCCCATTTTTGCAGGTGATTGGAGCATGTTAGTTGTAGAAATTGTGAGTCGGCCAACTCTCCGCTCAATTTTCAATAGTAGTTGCACTTTTCACCTCTAAGTGCGATACACTCAACAAAATCCAAGTTATAATGGAGGCGTAGCACTTCAAGTAAGCACAAGCTAAGAACAAGGGATTGAAATTACAGTATTTTAGTGTCCAGAGCACAATGTGTTTGTCAGTCTGTCTGACTTTAATGACCTCTTCACTTCGTCCTAACGACAACCTTAGTGAGACACTTTGCTTTGTTTGAAAAAGAAGAACATATGCGTTCGTATCTTCCCTTCAACATGGTCTGTTTCCCCATACGCGCGCACACACGCATGCATTTGCTTCAACTTAGTATTCCGTAATTTCAAAGTTGGAGTCATGTGGCTCGCGGCCATTGGCCAAAATCCTAATTGAGTTTTGTTTGTTAACAAATTGAATCGACGAAGACTTTCCTAGTAACAATTCTGCTTTTTTCCTGCTGCAGATTCACCTTGTGCGACCGGCAATCATGATTGCCATAAATTTGCTGAATGCCACCCAGTCAAGCGTTCATTATTCAAATGCATCTGTAAGCCGGGTTACCTTGGCGACGGGCGGAAATGTAAAGGTAACAATATTCTTAGTATTAAGAGGAAAGCAACGTTATTCTTCGCAGAAATATTATAAATGCATTAATATGCGACTGTAGTGAAGTTTAGAATTTGTATGCTTCGCATCTAAGGCTTTCTAGAGTAATAAAGACGTCCATGATATTCCACGAGTGCACGTTGGATGTGAGATGGGCCGAGCAGGCTATAATCATCTTATATCCTATAAGCGAGAGTGGAATAATTATTTTATCAAAAACGCCCCGAAATATGGATAAATCTTCCCAACTTACTTTGTAAGAACAAACAGAATGTTACAATGTGTAAAACACTTCCGGTTTAACTCGTCTTCATGCGCGCGCATGGCATAATGGTTCCTAACCTATGATGGCTAATGAATAAAGGGGGTAAGTTTCTAAAGAAACTGTGGTGCTGCGTCGGTGGGAGAGTATAGCAGGTAATTTAGTGTTAACAACTGAGTTAAAAACGTAAATTGGTCACCGTAAAGAGTTAAAAGGCTGACGTTTCGAGCGTTAGCCCTTTGTCAGAGCGATTGACGAAGGGCTAATGATAAATATATCTACGTAAGCTTAATTTCTGAAAGATCCTTCTTTAATCCGTGATTGCCCCTCTTTCCTCCTTAAAATTCAGTTCAGTCTTTCTAAAATGTGTAAAGCTCATCTCCATAAATATGTTTCAACTATCCCATTCCGTGGGAAAAATCACAAATTCAGCGCCCGAAATACTCCCAAGGACGACCCAACATCGCCTGTATTTAAAATAGAAATCACGTTTCAGGGACTAAAAACGTTTGTACGCAGAAGGAGAAAAGCCAAAAACTTTTTAGCGAAATCATCGATCCGGCCACCATTTTCTTTGAACCCTGATCTCTAGTTCCCAGTCTTTTTGCGGACAGGAACGTTTAGGTGGGTAAACATTGCAGGGAAGAGAAAACCTGCAAAATGGCGATCGAAAACGTCTTTTTAATCATTTCCAACTAAATTTCAAGTTGAACAAAAGTTTCCTGAGGTAATTTTGTAAGATTACTAAATAAAGGTTACTGGTTTGGAAGAAGGTACAAAGTATTGCAATCTATATTTCTTTAGGGTCTTGATATTCGCAGGAAAGTCAAGAATTCAAGTTAAAGAAAGTGATAAAACTTTTGAGTCTGTAAAACATGTTTCGACAGAAACTTCTGTCATCTTCAGTTAATTATTGTAGAAAGCGTTGGAAGTTGAATTATATAGTAAGTAGAACAATGCTAATTATGATAAATGGTGACAACAATAAAAGTGGTAAAGCATGAAAGTGTGAGAATTGAAATCTAAAATTATCCTTTGAATTCTCACACTTTCATGTTTTACCTCTTTTCTTGTTGCCACTATTTATCATAGTTAGCACTGTTCTACTTATAATATAATTCAACTTCCAACGCTTTGTATAGGAATTAGCTGAAGATGACAGAAGTTTCTGTCGAAACATGTTTTACTGACTCAAAAGTTTTGTCACTTTCTTTAAATTTTATATTTCTTTGTGTTCAGAGTTTGATCCATGTTCTGCAAACAATGGAGGCTGTCAGCACCTTTGCCGGCGGAATTCGAACGGACACGCTTCATGCAGCTGTAATGAGGGCTTTCACTTACACCCTAACAAAAGAGATTGTCTGGGTAAGCTGCGGAGATCCTTTTGAGTTGTTCCTTCATTTACTTTCCTCTTTCAAATTATTTTCCCTCTTGCGAATCCTGAGGTATAAGGCTGAGTCTGCACTCGAGGGGGCCCACTCGGCCGGAGCTATTTATCCCAGTTTCATCAGCATGAAGAGATTACGAGCATCACTACTCCCCAGACTTCTCTACCCGGAGTCCAACGCACTAACCATAAGAGCACTACGTCACCCACATCCAGAGGAATACCTCGGTATAAATCCTTATACTGAAAGAGAAGAGAGAGTATTTCTGCTAAAACAGAGTTTTTTTCTTTCCATAGCCACAGAGGAAGTCAGAAAGAGAATAAGGATCAAGATGGCGGAAGCCTTGCCCTGCAAATCGAAGGATATCAAAGATCACATTGTTAGCAAATTTCATACAAAGCTTTTGAGTCTGGATGCTTGTAATTTTCCTTGCAAGATTTACAAGCCGTTTTTGCGTTGCCGTCCAAAGGATGGGGATCGTCTTGTGGTGTCCGTATATTTTGACATCGAACTTCATCAAAATGTGATCTCACCTTCGAAATTTTGTAATATCACATGCGCGCGATGTCAGATGGAGGACAGATTACAAAAACTGATCGCCGAGCTTCGAGGGCTCACTAATGGCTACAAATTAAACGTGACGCTATATGACAAGACGTTTACTTTCGCTAGAAATACTCTGCGAATTTCAAAAGAGAGGGAAGAGAAGGAGAAAGAAGAAAAAGGGAAGGAAGAGGGTGATCAGTGCTACAAGACAGCAAGGAAAAAATTTAAGCGGCAAGGTGTGCAATATGATTAACTAGCTCGAACCAATGTTTGTATCTAAGCAACTACGCACCAACCTACCGACCTACCTACCCCTCCCCTAACCCAACATTAATCCTAACTTGTCATCCGTTAGCTGTCGTTGGGTTGGGGGAACTGACATTGATCCACTGACTCGTAACAACTTTAAGTCCCTATGGTTTTAGAGACGAAAATACTGAGCCAAAAATTATCACCTGCAGCGCTAAAACATTTTCATATGTGATATGAGCATCCTTAAGGGATAAAAGGGAAATCATAGTCTCGCTCACGCTCAACAACTAAAAGTAACAACTTGAATAACAAATAAGAGAAGCAAAGGGCACAATATCTGTGCTTGATTGAGTAATACATATAAAACAAGACTTCACTGAAACTCAAGTAGAGCCCTTTTTAATCAAGGGTTGTCAAACCAAAACCAGAGCGATCAAAACAGCCAAACATAGGAAGGAAATATCACGAGGAGTCTACGAGAACTAAAGACGAAAAAAAAAAATCAAAGCGCGGGAGAACGCGAGCGACCGAGTCGCGATTAGCTTTAGTTTTGAATCTGATTGGTACGTTGAGTAAGTCACGCGAGTTTTTTTGAGCCAATCACAAAACAAAGTGGAACAAAAACAGAGCAACCCCGGATTACTTTTGCCACTCAATTGAAAATGGCTCCAACGTTTTACTTTAAAGCTATCCCAGCTGAGTTGAGATGCATTCGACTCGGAAATAATTTTTTTACCCCTGTTCATTTTTGCAGCTCGCTGTCAGCCTGGAAAGTACTATGACATTTACCTGCGCAAATGTATGAACTGCTCAAGAGGATCCTACCAACCTAACAGATCAGAGAACTTTTGTTTCCGTTGCCCTGACAACAAGACGACACTATATGCAGGAGCTAGCGATATCTCACAGTGTATAGGTAAATGTGATGCTTATAAACTCCAGAGGGTAAAGGAATTCTGAAGGGAAACACAGTGTCGTTTGAACGAGATGGATTTTTAGAGCTTCTTTATAACAATGAATCTCGAGATCTTTTAATATCCATGAAACCATCTGCATGTAGTTTAATATACAAAGTAAGATTTATTTTAAAAATGCCATAATTAAGTAAAGAGGGAGGGAAGAGTGGAGTGCTCTCCACTTGGTACAGTGATATCACCTTTAGATGGCATACATGCAACCAAGGACCGGTTATCACTTATTGCCAGAGGCGACGACTGATCTCCCCTTCATCCCCCTGAAAACCATGTGGTCCACAGTGAGTCCTACACTCCCCACCCCCAACCGGGCGATAAAAATGGCTCCAGGTCCTCTCTTACTGGCAGTTAATTGGCAATCAATTTTCTATAGTCACCTCTTAATACTCTGTTGGCGACGGCTGATCCCCTCTCCATCCCCCCCCCCTCCCCCTCCATAAAACCATGTGTTCCCCAATAAATCCTCCACTCCCCCCTCCGAAAAAAAACAGGCGATAGAAAATGGCTGGCCCCTTACTTACTCTTTCTATAAAGTGTTTACTTATCATTAACTGAAAGTCACACAGATCTGCTTAAAATATTTGCATTCATGATAGAGTTCTTTCCCAAAATAACTGGAGATGAGGTTTTGAAAAATTTGAATTCAGTCCACGAGATTATCTTACTAGGTAATTTATCAATTAACTAACTAACTTATTGTTAATTTTTAGATACAATTTGTGGTGGAAATTTAACATCGATGTCAGGTGTAATCACATCACCAAACCACCCCGATCCCTACCCCAAAGGGATCGAGTGTGTCTGGAACATACGATGTCCCGAAGGTCGAGGCTTACTTCTACTTATACCAAACATATCATTACCGCTGACCATGGATTGCTCAGATCATCTAATCATGCGCAAAAATGCCAGCCCATTTTCAAAGACTACCTACTACGCATGCGAGTCTTATGATAACCCTGTGGCTTTTATCTCGAGAAGCAAGGATCTCTATGTCAAGTTTACCTCCAAAAGCACCAACGAAATGGCCGAAGGGTTTAAGATTTTCTACGTTACATTTCAAGGTGGATGGTTTTCTTTATGAGACAAGCATTGTTTTGGTTTTTGGTCTTTGGTTTGTTATGTTTTTTTTTTGTTTTTGTCCATTTTCGAGCAATTTTTAATTTAGTTGCGAAAGTAATCAGAGTTTGTTTTGATTTTGCATTATTTTGGTCTGTGATTGGTTCATCTCGCCATCTTCTTAACCAATCAGACACAATACGAAAACCAGTCGTGAATTGGCCGCCCTTGTTTTCCTGCGTTTTTCATCCTTTTCTTATTTTTCCTATGAGTGCTCATTGGCTAATGATGATGTCACCCCTTCGTTATGATAAGCTTTTGTGATTACTTTTTGTTGGTCAATTGGAAACTACTCTATCATCATCTTTTAATTACGAATAATTCTTTCTTGGCCTTGCAAATTTTTCGAGCGGGAGAAAGTGCCATTCGCTCTAAATCGTAATGACTTCTTGATATAATTTTGTAAATGTTGTTAGGAAGGGTGCAGACGACAAATCGTTCTTTTATTGCTGAACGAAATGTAAAATGCAAAATTGTTCGACGCAAATAGGAAGTAAGCATTAAGTGTAAAATGCACGAAAAATTATCTTCTGCATTTTTGTTAAAATGGGAATTTTTTTGCGTCTTCATTTTGGATCCTTGGACGTCTCAGGGCTGCTACTGTTGTCTGTACTGTTCCCCTCAGGAGTCCTAGGAACTGAAAGCGTCACTTATTGATTACTTTAACCCTTTAAATCCCATGAGTGACCAAGATAGAATTTCTCCTTACAATATCAATACAATATCAATCAGATAAGTGATGAGAATAAAGAGAACTATCAATTTGGGGACAATAAGTTGATTCAATACTAAATTCTCGGAACTAGCATTATAAGAATTGTGTGGTTGGCAGTAAGGAGAATGACAAATTTGATCTGGGAGTTAAAGGGTTAACGGCACTGTAGAACGAAGTACATTTCGAAATGATGATATTTCAGGAGCTTGAGATTGTTTCAAATGATTTCAAGGAATATTCTTTTCACATGTCATTTATACGCTTTTGGCGGAAACTTATTCTAACAGTGCGTTTTCATTTTTCTTTGGTAGAGAAATACAGATCTTTGGTGAAGTCTATTGTTCAAGACGGCAAGTTATATGGAAACAGCAGTCTTCGCAAAATATTACAGGTAAGTCATGTCCGCGGAAAGCCGTGGCTGCTAAAAAGCATTGTTATAGTTTTCAGCTCAATTTCTGATGGTGTCACGTGGGTAAAAGTTCAGTCCGTAATCAAGCCTAGTGGCCAATCCACCCGGAGCTTACCCCGACTCTCATAGTGATAAAATGCTACTCCCTGTTCGTACTTGACGAGGTTAGACGAGGTTGCATCGGAGCTCTCCGTATACGTAGCAACCTCAAAAACCAAGATTTCTACACGCATCATCTGGTTTCCTCCCTAAAATGCTTGAACTGTTGAAATAATAATGTGGTCTTTGTCGGATGTTCATTTTGTTTTTTTTGTTTTTTTCCTCAGGACGAGAGTCTCATCACGCAAATTCTTGACATCATGGTTCACCCTCACAAGTTTTTTTATTTGCCCAAAAACGCAAAGAACAAACTCCCAGAGTTTTATTCCTTCGTCGAAAAGAAAGTAGAGGCTAAGTTGAATCTTAAACCTTACAAGTAAAGAAAATATATTTTTTCAGAAGAATTGTCCAACACGACATAAGCAAAAGGGACCTTTATCAGTCAGGAAGGCAGCGCTGAGTAAGACTTTTAGTTAAGATTTCGCGGTTAAGATATGTACAAAGTTTTCAAACGCACGTGCTAAGCTATTGTTACCCCCTTTAGATCTAGTGTTTTGCCACGCCCTCGTTGTCTTCGTTGTCGGGATTTGGACAGAATGCAAATGCTGTTTTTAACAGGGTATGACGCATTAATAAGAGTAATATTAACGTAACGATACTAAACGACAAAGTATGCTTCGAAACTGTCGATAGTATTTTAAGTTTTGTAGTACCGTTTAAATGTCTCTCTAAGTGGTAGACAAATACTTAGCCTTTGTCATTTATGTTACTATCTAGATTTGTCGTCGTCATTGGTATTGTTTGCGTTAGTAAATAACAACCATGCGCAAATTAAAACTGGAATCGTAGGATATTATCGATAAGAGGTTATAAGAATCTCAAGACTTATTTTATTGGTTTGTAAGTAAAATGCGACCCGGTGACATACAAATATATATACTTAATAATTGATTAAAAAAAAACAACAATGGTGATTCGTAATCATGACCACGCCCATGAAGATAATATCGACATTAAAATAAGCGATGTTATTTCATAGTCACGGGCGTAAGAGAAAGCACTAAATAAATCGGTTATGGGCCAATCTCGAAAGTTTTCGTTAATCTGCAGAGCGCACGCAGTAAGTGAAATGATGAACCCTTGATCAGGGACCGCGCAGCAAGTTTTTGAGTGGGGGGGGGGGAAAGTATTTTTGCAAAAATGGTGGGGGGGGGACACTAAAGCCCCCCTAGCCCTCCCTCTGCGCGGTCCCTGTTGATAAGCATCTAATTTCTCCTTACAATATTACCCCTGAATCAAACATTATATCAAGGTCACGAGAAGAGAATAAAGGAAACGATCACGAACTCAAGACGCTCCTGATCATTAGACAAATTCTCCTTGTAAGAACCATAGGAAATGTGTAGAAAACAGTATGGAGAATATACATACTGATATTAGGGGAGTAAATGGGCAAAGGAAAAAGATTCTATGTTCAAACGTTAGGGATAATTTTATGGCAAGGACTCTAGTGACATGAAATTGTTACAGTTCTTGATAGAAGCTGCTTATACTGACGTTTGTTGAGTTCAAATTTAGCCCAATGACAATAGAAGGTAGTGACTACGTGAACCCTTTGTAAAATTAGTCTTTCAATTCGTCTATTGCTGATTTTCATCCAGTTTAAACTGGTTTAACTGAACGTATGATTTTGATGGTGTGAATGGTGCATAAAAAGTCTCCTCCCTTTCCATTTCTTCGTTTTACTATTTCAAATGTATTGAATATGATATTTTCAAAATTAGTTCAATTGTTATTAGAGAAATGATTGTAACACATCGAGCAATTTTTCTCATACGAGAAATCAATGATTATCTATCGCATGGGGAAGGGTCGTATAACCCCTTTCCATTATAAAACAAAGCTGTTGTCCTAAAGACAATCTGTTGTTGGCCATTGTCTTTTTTATCCAAGAACTGTATGCATGTTGTAGGATAAGGTAGTATATGAAACTTGTCAAATAAAATTTGATCATAGTAGCACTTAAATTCTTTTGAATTCTTACCCAACTTCAATGAAGGAATTTGGATTCTCCTCTCAGAGTCGAAAGCAGTCGAGAAAAGCATAGGAAGACATCTTGCATCTCGAATTAGGCAGAAGATCCGAATGTAATAGCACAAAATTGCAATATTAGATAAAGCGTTTCTTGTTAGACGGAAGATCACATGGCTTCGTTTTTGTTAGGTAAAATTAGTATTTGACCCTCTGCTGCAAATGCATCGTACTGTGACACTTTAACGAAGCTGTAAGAATCGTTCAAGGCCTCTTTCTCTTGGTTTTTTGTTTTTTCTTCTGTAAGACTCAACCAGAACACTACCGCTAGGCCTAAAATGATGGTCACACCCCCAATAAATTCAAGAGCTTTCAGCACCTCACCTAACATCAAGTACGAAAAAATGAAACAGAAAAAAAATTTGAAGAGGCCATGTGGCCGTTACGAGTGAGGCTGATATCTGCAAGTTACACCAAGAAATAAAGATATAACACAACCCAGAGGTGTTGAATATTGCGTACGTAGTTTTATAGACCTCCTCTATAGGAAAATGCGTAAATTTTTCTGGCTTCTTAATGCTACAAAGCGATGCGAGGGCGAAAAACACCGCACCGAACATATAGCTCCGCGCAGTGACTGCAACAGGTTTTGTTTTTCAGTAAGAGTCCTCTTTGTCAAAGATAAACGTCTTCTGAAGGAAGATGTACAGCGCCGTGGTTATAGTACTTCCCAGGAGAATTATGTACCTCACAAAGCGGCGTACAGAAAAGTTTGATCCATTGTGCTGCGATGCTTAGTCAGATTCTTTTCCCACAGTAATAACTACAGCTTCAATCGCAGCTAAAAGAATCCCCAAGGACTTGGCCCAGCCGCGCAAAGTACGGAAGTCTGGAAAAGGCTCAATGCGTGCTAAGAAAGCAAGTAATGTTGTCTACACCGGGATTAAAGTTTGAAATATGGACGCTATGTTCGCGTTCGTGTAGTAGATACCGAGGGGTACAATAGTTGACTACCAAACATTCCCGTTAAGCCGAGAACGATGAAAAAAAATTTCTGTGGTGCCTGCGCTGAGATTTCACATCTGATATCAACAGTTTGCAGGCAGAAGTTTCATGGTATGAATAAATCAAAAACGGACAAGCATAAGCTTGTTGGTGTTTACTTGCCAAAGTATCCTAGAAATGACACAATCGAAAATCAGGGGTCCAAGCAGAAGCGAGCAGAAAAATCTTGACATTAGTGATTGACAAGCAGAAGTTTCTGTTTGTTTGGTTTGTTTTTACCCTATCGAGTTGCCTGATAATTGATTCAGTTGTCATCTGACCTCTTCAGCTCCCTTTGCGCTCTTATTAGACTAAAAAAGAAAATGATCGATACACGTGATGGTGCGGGAAAGGCTGAAAAAAAGCCTTGCGCCCCTGCGAGATGCGAGCTGAAAGAAAAAAAGAAAGAGAGAAAAAAAGAAAGAAAAAATGACACTATGCCTTTTGACTGAGTTTCGTCGGGCTAGAAGAAAAAATATTTCGCTGCAATCAGTCCGCACATCATGACTTCGAACCAACTCTTTTCCCCATCCACTGGCCACTCCTTCCACTCGGTAAAGTGGTACACATTCCGCGGGAACTGATTGTGTGTAAACAACACAAAAATTACTTAAACTAATCTCAGGATACCAAATGAATTCTGAATGATTAAAAAAAAAGTGTCCGAGAAAAAATGAATGATTAGAGTCCAATTATTTTGTTGTTACCCTTGAACTTTTGAACTAAATAATCCTCGTCCGTCATGCATTGCGAGTTACAAGATACACGCACTCATAAAGCAAGTGTGAGAATCATACAAATATCGTAACTTAGATTTCACAGAACAGCAAAGTTTCATTTAAAGGGCTACCGACGATAATAATTTGATTTGTTCCTTTAGCATCTTCCATCATCTTTGGACGGTTGGAGTCAACAGATGTCGGAATTGAAACAAATGGCACTTATCGACTCCTCGTTATTGATCACCAAGGGGAGAGGGGGTCGGAAGATCTTGGTTGTGTAATGATTAAATTTATCTGATTCCCCCCATAAGGCTATATAACCTTCTTATGATCCCCTCCCTCCCCTCAACGGTAGGTAATTGGCAGTTAGTTTTCTATATTTCTTCCTTTAAACTCTGTTGTCGAATGATCCACCCTCCGCTTTCCTTGAAAATCACGTAACCCCCCCTCCCCCTGCACTGAATCCTCAACCTCCTCCCTCAGGCGTCAGTAAATGACGACTGCCTAATTGTTTTCGTCAATTGTCAACCTTGAGAAACTAATGACCTTGCACGTGCCTGCCATATGTTCGATACCAGAGGGCATATTTGGAGAGAGCAGAAGTGTCAATTGAGTTTTTAAGACAACTTCCTCTTGAGATCATTTGTTTTGTCTGGTCCAGATGTTCACGTGAACAAGAGATTAGGTTTAGCAGTTATACACGTTAGAGACATTTAGCTCTGTAAATCACTTCAGTTCTATCTATCTTGAATCCAGTAGAGGCTAGGCTAGGGTTATAACTCCAGCTGTTCTTCGAAGAAATGACTAAGTGAGGAAAGTTGAAGGCCAAGGGATTCCTTCCTCCATACGCACCTTCTAAGGATTGTCTTCTTAGTCAAATGCGATTTGCTCAGCTTTTTCTCTGGCACAATGGAAAATAAACGATTGGAGATCCATAGATTCTCGTTCTGCGCATCGTTAACCCTCTATGCTTTAACATCAGTATGCATATTCTCCATACTGTTCTCTATGCATTTCCTGAGGTGCTGACAGGGAGAATTTGCTTACAATCAAGAGCTTCTTTAGTTGGTGATCATTTCCTTTATTTTCGTGGCCTTATATTAGTGTGTGATTTGGGGTTGACGTTGTAAGAAAAATATCAGATGCTAAAAATAAAAATAATTAATGCAATTAGAGACCTTACATAACATGACAACCCCATAAAAATATCGATTTTTTTTTTTCATATTCATCTTGTACACAACATCAGTGATGATTCTGGAAAGTGAGGAACAATTTTCAGATAAAAACCAAACATAGGTGCGTTGAGTCCTAGTTGGGCCATAATTAAGTCCAACAACTTTGAACAGTACGGAAAATGTGATTAAATTGTAGGACAATAAATCGAGCAATAAAAGAATACTCTGTATGGATCACATAACCGCAAAGCGCAATGTTGGCTTTAGAGGTGTGATGTTGACAACAGTAAGGCTGGGGACTTTGCGAGTGGTACAAAACACTCGATACAACCTTGCGTGCCCGGCTAAAATAATCTGAAAATCGAGATGATTATACGCCTATATGTGTACCAATTTACCTATTAATCCATCTATTCATCTCTCTTCTAACATCTATTCTCCCAGAAACACATACCCGTGTATTGCTGAGTTTTCTCCTTGGGTTTTGGCCTTCAAACCACGAAGCCAAAATCTTGCGAAGGTTTACCACTACGATTAATATTACTGAAATATACGTTAACGAAATACATTATCTATGAATATGTAATGGTTATAGGACTGAGTGGAGTCCAATTCGGTCTGTCATCGTACAAGTGATAACACAATCGGACGACCGCGCGGCGGGAGTCCGATTTATTCATCACAAGTATGATTACAGACCGAATTGGACGACATGAAGTCTTATTGCCAATTAATCAAAAAAATTACAATTTTAAGAGAGAAGAAGAATATAGCCAAGTTATAAAAAAAATGGAATTAAAAAAGAGAAAAAAAAAGCCTCAATTTAAGAGTCTGTACACTGTTTTTCTATGGTGATTGAAACCAAGGTTGTGATTGGTTGATTTGATAACACCTTGACAAGTGAATAAGTGGAAAATAAGAGTTTTTTTAAACAAATCACAATCGAGGAAATTATAAGTTTTATGATTAGGTGAGAAATTCATAAGTTTTGAGACTTCCTAAATATTTTCTTAAATACCCTGGCAGTTATAAGTACAGACCAACTTATGGCACAACGCTGCAATATTAGATAAAACGAAGAATATTTTAGATCAGATGACGTTATTTTGTCAGACTTAATTAGTGTCTAATTCACTTCTTTTCTCTTTCTTGAACCTTCTGCAACAAAACCATCATATTGTGATACTTTAACGTAGCCATAAGAATTGTTCAAGTCTTCTTCCTGTTCGCTTTTCATTTCTTCTTCTGAAAAATTTGACCAAACGACTGCCATGAGGCCTATAACAATAAGCACACCTCCAACGTATTCCAAAGTTTTCAGCACCTCGCCCAGCACAAAGTAAGACAAAATGGCGCAGAACAAAACCTGAAGTGGCCATGTGGCTGTCACGAGTGACGCAGATATCTGCATGTTACACCAGGATATTAAAAGATAACATAGACCTGAGGCGATAAATATTGCGTACAGAATTGGGTAAACTTCCTCTTGAGGGAAATACGTAAACTTTTCCGGCTTGTTGACGTAATAAAGCGAGGCGAGAGCCATAAACATTGCACCGAAGAGATAACTCCACGCAGTGACTGTCACAGGTTTCGTTTTCCAACAAGAGTCCTCTTTGTCAAAGATAAACTTCTTCTGAAGGAGGATATACACAGCCATGGACAAAGTATTCCCGAGGAGGAATATATACCCCACAAAATTGACGCTGTCAGACGAGGATGATCCACTATGGTCTGATGCTTGGCCAGTTTTTTTTTCCACTGTCATGACTATGGCTCCGACAGCAGCTAAAAGAATTCCCAGAGACTTGGCCCAGCCGCGCCAAGTACGAAAGTCTGGAAACGGCTCAATGCGCACTATGATAGCAAGTAATGCTGTCCACACGGGGATTGCTGGTTGGAAAATGGACGCTATGTTCGCGTTAGTGTAATAAATACCAAGAAGGTACAATAGTTGATTACCAAACATTCCTGTTAAACCTAGAACGATGAAAAGGGGAAGTTCCCTGTAGAGAAAGAAATTCACTTAAGAGTCGCCCTCACTCAGAGCCTCTTCGAAACATCCTGTAGACGGGTTTTCATCCCCTCTATGGCACCAGCGACAAAGCCCGCGAGATTTAAAGCCTGAGAGCGAATGAAGCGTGCGAGAAGTTTGCAAGGGGCCTGGCACTAAAAAAGACGCCGGAATCGAGAAACAAAAGCGTCCTCGCAGGCACTCATTTTTGTGCCATCAAACATGCGCGCCCTTCGCAGATCTCTTGAACGCTTGCATCGCTCTTCGGCTTTCTTGCCGCAGCAGAGCTTGCTCGCGGGCTACTTCAAAACAATCGGATGTGGGGGGGGGGGGGGGGGGGGGGAGATGCACGTACAGTTCCTTCAATAAAAGTTTCTTCGGCTTTTGTAATTTGGGTAAGAATAATAGCTCTTTATCTTCAAATCCACGAATTTTTGAGATGAATTTATCATGACTTTGGTCCACAAGAAACACAGTTTCCTTTTGAGAGTGTTACAGCGAATGGGTATGAATATTTGTTTTCTTGATCGCTGTGGGCGGTTTCAAAATGGAAACTGGGTTTGAACACACATTTTGTAAACAAACATGAAATTGGAAAGTGCCAAATGAGCAAACTGAAACTGGGACAATACTGTAAATTTGTAACCTTTACGGACTTCTTATTCTATAGCGAATATTAAATCAAGATCCCATTGATCTTAGCTTACTGGTACCAGTAACAATTTCAAAGTTATAGCAATAGGTGACGATATTATAATAGTTTTTTTCGAAATTTACAACAAACGGCAATGAGAAAGCTCAAAGACCAAGCCAACTACGCAATCTACTCGAACTGGAAAGCGATATATTCTCTCGTGGATCGAATCTAATATCAAAGTGCGATCAGTGGCATCTAAGGGCCATTTGGATTCATTTAGAACGGAGATCGGACTAAAACAAAAGCTTTAAAGGCTTTTTGAAGATAATTTCAGTTACCAAGACTACCTTAAGGTAAACTGGTTTCTACAGTTAGCCACTAAATTCAAATCAACTTAATATCCTTCACCTTGTACGTACCTAGGAGAAGGAATTTGAATCCTCTTCTCGGAGACAAAAGCTGCCAAGAGAAGCACAGGAAAACATCCCGCATCGCGAATCAGGCTGAAGATTAGAGGATCTGCTTTGTTCTCTTTAGCAAATTTGGAAACGATAACTCCATAAGCTCCAAATCCCAGTTGCACGACAACAAGAGCCAACCACACCATCCAAACACTCGCCATGTTGAATTGAGTAATCCTCTTCCGTCACGCACTCCTTTGAGTCATAGTACGCATGCGTTTAAGGTAGGGAAATGTGACAGTCACACAACTTTCGCAGTAAAGTCAGTAAATTAGTACTGACGAATGACGGCTACGATTGTTTTTGTTCCTTTAGGTATCTCTTTTCTTCTTTTGACTGTTGGATTTAGCAGATATCAGCCATGAAAATAAACAAAATTAAAACACCATTTGAGCATCATTTTCTAATAAAGTTCATGACGCTTTATTTCAAAATAGCACATTTGTATTTACGACTGGCATATCTAAACCTTCTAAAATATTTACCGTCACAATATATTAACTTTAAATGAGGTGAGAAATTCATAACTTTGTACTTCTTTTTAAGAATCCTATAGAAAAGTTTGTCAGATGACCGGCGTCCCCTCAAACAAAACTAATCTTTTCTCTGTGTAAAAATACTTACTTGTCTAATTTGACTTCGATATCTACATGAAATTATTAAGTTAGGATGAAGAAAGCTGTAATCGTGGCAGGCTTAAAATTCAAAGAGTGACGAGGCCGTTTTGAAACGGTACTTTATATATTCTGAACCATTTGACTACAGAAACTACTTTTATAAGCTATGAACAAATTGCTTTCAAAATGGTATTTATTTCTAAAAGAAAATATACACACTAACAGATGTAATGGACTCCTGACTCTAGACACTGTCTTACCAGATTCAGTGAGAGATTTAATCGCAAAAGCCAGAGGAAAAGTTAACGGTTACTTCGCATTTATAAAAAGCTCCAAAATATTGGCCTATCTTTCCAAAAGAAGAACGTTTTATTTTTTAAGTTTTGCCAGCTAGGGTTTATTTGAAATTTTAAGCTTTTTATTTTTGTAATTAGAAAATTTTCATCCCAATATATAATTCATCGATTGCCAAATATGCTTTTTTTCCCATTATAGAAATAATTTCTGTCATTTATCCACTCAGCAAGTTTAACTATTTTAGAAAATTAAAGTCGGTCTTTCAGACTACGAATGCTGAGGGAAAAAGTTCGAGGCCGCTGCCGACTGCGTTCACTTTGGGGTAAGGAGTTTCCTGAGGTCAGCGGCTTCTTTTTCCAGAGCTTTTTGCTGTTTCCACAGCACACACTGAATGATCTTTAACCTCTCCACAGCCGGTGTGAAGCCTGGTTCGAGCTGTAAGGCGAGCAGATAGTGCTGAATAGCCTCAGGTATTTCACTCTGAGGTGGAAAAGAAAGAGAGTAAAGTTGACTTAAAGCACGAAGAGAAAATATTTGTATATAACACTGCAGTAAGGGTCTTTAGATAGATACACGGTATAATTCTCCAGCACAATGATCCTAGAGAATAAAATAACTAATTCTGCCTGGCTAAACTTATACAGGGTATTGGTATGGAAACCGGCTCCCGCTGGTTGGGCTACTAGTGCTTGGTTCGATAACACTCGCATTAACATAGAAATGAAGATCAGAGGAATTTATCCACTTGTTATTGACATATAGGATATAGTCTAAACCTTAAAAAGGTCTCGAACCTTTTTCAACATTAAACGAACCCTTTCTCGGATGAAGATTTGCTCAGAGACTGAAAAACCAAACAATAAATGCTTCCCATCCTAATTTGCATTTAGGCTAAATTCTTATTTTTTTCCATTAATAAAATGCACTAAAGAACATACAGATAACGCATTAAATACCTGAGCACCGAAGACGTTTCCAAGAATAAAGTGTCCAAGAGCAAGACTGGGAGAAATCTAAAAAACGGAAACAAAATGAAACTGAAGCTTCTTTTACTTAAAACATTACTCTCTTTCTACTTTACAGTAAAACTTTAAAAAAACAAACAACAACAACAACAAAAACAACAAAGGTGAACCCTATCAATTGATTTTGACAGGTCAATTTTAAACTAACCGATCACAATGAAGTTCAGCACACGCGAGGAAAGTTTAAAGCCATAAACTTATGACAGTTTCTGTTTGCTTCGTTTTCTGAGCTTAGCGACCGGTTATTATTAGTCGCCTATGGGGGGGGGGGGGAAAGGGGGTGTTGGATGATTTTGATGATGTTACGATAAAATTACCCGATCCCCCACAAGGATCAGTAATATTATTTTTCTTTGAAACACACTTCCGCAAACATTTTTCTGGTGTGCACAATCTCTAAGTTTTACAGAAAAATAATTTTCTTTTACTTGGAAAACTGCGGGTCAATTACTTATGTCTTTCAAATAGACATGTAAGTAAAAGTTTAGTAGATAAGTCATAGAAACGACGGATATAACAATTACTGGATGCAGCAGAAAAGTCCTCAGAAATGAGATACAAACACTGTTAGTAGAGAGGTTCAAGTTTGCACAGAAAAATTACTGTTTTCTCCACGATTTTGCGCGACCTTCACAAATAGAATTAAGTCACGCGCGTTACAGACGTGTCACGCCTAGTGTATCACAACTTTTTTGCGCCTGCGCCTGGGACGACTTTCAAATAACTTTCAATGTAACTTATCATAAATATTGCTTCGTTTATAGAAACAGTGAGGCTTGGGGCCGAGACATCAAGCGAAAAACAACCAGTTCGAGAGGACAATGACTTGGAAATGTCATTCAGTACAGTCGTTACCTCAAGAGCCTTTTTTATGACTACAGCAGCGTCTTCAAGCTGGCCCTCTCTTAACAATATACTGGCCAGACTAACATGAGCTACATCCTGGAACGAAAACATGACCAAGAGTTGGAGTATGATTCTTTGAATTGACAGATGTAACAATAGTAAATGACTTACGATGTCATTTTAAGATGTAACTAGTTTTGGGATTCCATGATTGCAGTGATTTCTGGGGCGCGCTTTGATTTGAAACCCTGCGGATCAATTAGCGCATTAACCCTTTAACCCTTAAGAGTGACTAACATCTAACTTCTCCTTACAACATCACCCCTGAATCATGCAGTAAAGTCATGAGAATAAAAAAAAATTATCAGCAGCTAAAGAAGCTATTGATTGTTACACAAATTCTCCTTGCCAGCTCCTTAGGGATGTATGGAGAACAGTATGGAGAATACCTTTACTGATGTTAGGGTGTAAAGTGTTCAAAGGGTATAATTTTTTACAGAAATACGCAACTCTCATAACGAGCCGCTCTGTACATTTCCACTTTCTTGATATATTTTTTTTATAGAAAGAGTTTTGACTTAAGTTAAGTAGAGAATAGGTGTTGATATAACAAACCACCCCCCCTTTTTTCCGGCGGCCAGCTAAAACTTTTTAAGATGAGGGAGAGGGGGGGAAGTTCGAGGAATCCGAGGTAAAAAATTATGGTGATACTCTGATACAAAGAAATGTCTTAAGACGTTGCGTGAGTTCAAAATAAAAGGACCTCTTCTTGTTCTGATCATAAAATGCCTACCCTTGCATTGGATGGAGAGAAAGAAAGAGCTTGGCGTAGACACTTGATGGCTTCAGCAGTATCTCCTTGTACTCTCCAATAAAGAGACGCTACATTCAGTAGCACCCAGGACGAAGAATTCTACAAAAACAAAAAAAATCGTCAGACTTCAAGCTATCTAAGCACCGTTGCCATTTAAGCACTCGTGGTATGAGTGCTAGACGGGTCCAAAAATTGGGTCAGAATATGCTAAAGTTCCGACCACCAGACCAGTTTTACTTCATGATCCGGAAGGGTTCATCCTAAGGATGTGCCGACATGTCCAGCGTAATTGGTCCCCTCACTAATCGATCATAGGGCGACCTACCTCTAAACATGGAACGTACGGTGAAACCTAACTAAAAGAGAAACGATCGTATATATTTTTTTCACATGTTGCTTACCCTTGTGGGGCCCTTTACTCACCTTACCAATGGCGTAAAACTTTTAAGTATTTAACAGCAGTCTGTAAAGACCCAAAACTTCAAAACGGAACCAAATTGGTCCATCATCGCGAAATTTGCTTAAGTTAACCAAATCTACAGGGGTTTACTTTTTGCGCATGCGCAATAGGAATTTTCTATTATGATACTTCATAGATGAAGAAATAAAATGTCAAGAAAGAGAAAACTTGATCAAAGGAAGAGAGACACCGTGCCACCATAGAAAACTGATCTGTTTCGTTAAAATACAGCTTGGGATGGTACCTTCTTTAGGGCATTGAAAATTCGTGTTCCCATCTCGTCAATGGTGTCTTGTAATGTTCTTCCCATGCTCAACAGGGTCTAAAAATAGTAAATGTAACAGTCATGTCTAGGCATAGACTTACCCGGTAAAAAAAAGAAAGAAACTCTTCTTTGTGGAAGAAAGAAAACAGAAATTTACTTCTTTTTCTAAAGAAATGTAACATTACATTGCAACATGACATACAAAACGAACAGAAAACAAAACCAAACCTGAGTGAGACCAACTTCAGCGACTTGATCAAAATAAGCAGCATTGACCACACCCTTGATAAAAGACAGTACACAAACCACTTTAAAAAAGACAAAAGAAAGCTAGTAATCTTACAAGAGATACAATAATGCCCTCACTCATTGGGTCGGTCAATTAAGGCTGAGGAAGACATAGAGGTATCAATTGAGCCCTTGGCCCCTAAGAGTGACCAGCATCTAATTTCTTCCTACAATATCACCCCTGAATCATGAGAATAAATGAAATTAAGACCGACTGAAGAAACTCTTGATTGTTAAGCAAATTCTCCTTGTCAGCACCTTAGGAAATGTATAGAGAACAGTATGGAGAATATGCATACTGATGTCAGGGCGTAAAAGGTTAATTAACGAAAGAGCGAGCGAGAGAGAAAGAGGACAACAAAACAATATTCACGGTACCGGAAGGTTGTGGAACGTGTGCAATTTGTTCCTGATCTTTGCCGTACAACGAGGCCTTCTGGGAAAGTCGTCCACCTCACTTAGGAAGTCGATGTGAGCCCGCACGCTAAAGGAAGAGAAGAAAAATTACACTGACAGTGACGAAACAGAAACCAACCATTGACGCCGATTCCCCGAGGGGGAGGGGGGTTCTTCTTGACAATAGGCCGATGGTATGTGCCACTAGATAGGGTCACATTTTCACGACTGGATTGACCATAATGGGGTTGCATCTTCAATAAGGTTATTAAGTTATTTGAATGGAGTCGCACATTTTCGGAATCTTTGGTGGTTAGAATATTCTGATAAGTGGGGATTTAAAAATGGGAAGATTTGCAGTTAAATAGTTGTTACGGTATTACCAAAAGAAGGGGTCTATAATTGGCCACAGAATAGTCTATAATGGGGTAGGGGTTCTGAGAGGTCTTTGACACATGCCCAGTAAAAAAAGACCCAAGTACCCCCCCCCCTCCCCCGGCGCCGATTGCATATTTCAACATATTTCATATTAATCAGTACGTTAAAAAATTGTCCACTATGGACTGGGACACACATGACTGGTCGAAGAAGCTTATTTGAGGAAATTCATGCAAAAAGGCAACTGACAACTTACAACTGACTTACTCAATGTTTTTGGTGTCCAACGACAGCCATGCGCTGAACTGTTTGTTCCTGACAATCAGAGCCTGGACACCCTCTATGTGTCGGCATTCTTCTTCACTCAGATCCTGAAGAGATCCGTCAGTTTGCACGTTCATAAAGCTTGTTTCAAAAACGCTCGATCCTGCACCAACACTGTGAAGAAACTCGGCGCTGTTAACTTTTTCCTTCATATTAGGCGATGGCTTAAATTTAACCTCGTTTAGTTTACTTGATTTATCACTTTTAGCAGGTAACTCTTTTGTTGCGCTTGAATCCAACCGATTTTGCCTTTTCTCCGCTTTACTCTTTTCTCCGTTAGCGTTTTTAGGATTTTTAACAACACCACTAGTATCTGGTCTACCATAATCTTTACTATTATAACTCTCTTCATCTCTGGTTTTACTTCTCGCATCGTCATAAGCGGTAGAAAATTTCTCTCCATTATTTTCTGGTACGTTCAAATTAGATTTTTCGTACTCTCCAGGGTTTGTCTTCCAGTGATGTTTCTTGCTTTCAATTTCTAGACCACTGCCTTTGATTTGCGTGGCAGAAACACTCTCGACAGAGTTCACTTTAAGATTGTTGTTATCACTTGCAGTCGAACCAATATTGACTTTTGTATTTCTATTACTTTTCTTCTCGCTTTGTTCAAGAACTTTTGCTTCAGAAGTGCGCTCACTTAATAGAGAATCCGTGGGCACGTTAGCCGAAATCTCATCTGCCAAAGTTTGCTTCATCAAAATTACCTCACCATCTGAATCAAGCAGACTTCTTTTATCCGTCGATAGCTCATTTTCCTCGGCCTTAGTAAATTCAGTGGTTGACACAAAGCTCTCAACACTAACATCTCTTCCAGCGCTTGTGCCGTGCGTCTGTTTCTTGGAATCTTGAGTCAAACACTCCGCACTGACCGCTTCGCCTTTTAGTTTCTTCCTTCCAAGATCTTCACAATTTCTTAAACTCGGCAAGAATGCTTTGTCCTTTAGAGGTGGCGTGTGTTTAGGTCCGCTAGGGACGCTTCCTTTTAGCTGCTCAAACAGTGATTCTGCGATAACATTGTCCCGGGTGTTCTTGGAAGGTATCAGATAATCAAACTTTGAACCTGGATCGTTCTTGCTCAACACAATAGACTCTCCTTTCTGCTTAACAAATTTACCATCATCAGCAATAACACTTCCGGCAAAGCCATCCTCACTAGGATTATTAAAACCAGCGCCTCGTTTCATCGTTTTAAAACCACTCTCGCCGCGTCGACCAGTATTCTCTTTCTTGACTGTCATTTCTTTTTCCTGCAAAGTTGAAATACTTTCAACACAGCTTGTTTTTTCTACGTTTGTCTTCGCACCGTTTTCACTTTGCAGCACTTTCTCCTCGGTTATTTTCACAGTCTGCGTAGCGGAGTTTGTATGAGTAACAGTTTTCATGACATGTTTTAAGCGAGTCAACGCTAGTCGAGCTTCTTCTAAATCCTGCATGGTTTTCATCTCTATAGAAAATTTAGAATTATTTAACCGAGAATTTCTTGCTTTTAGTGATTCACTCATCACTCTTTTTTCTTTCCAGATAGTGCGTTCTTCATCTTGGCCTTTTCTATCAAGGGATTTCGATTTTAGATCAGATTCGATGGCATCAGAATTGTGTTTTGATTCTTCTTCTCCTTGCGGTAGAGTTCGCAATCCAGAACTTCCAGTTTCTTTTTCCTCTTTCTCATTCCTCTGTTTGTTGACTGTCTCTTCGGAGTCTTCGTTTTTTGGCTGTTTTTCCCGTCTCTCTGTTGTTCCAGTACCATCAGAAGGCAAATTCCCTTCCTATAAATAAAAATAAAAAATAAAATTTGCTAAGGATATTTTACTTCAGATGGGGGGGGGGGGGGGGGGAGTTACATGAGTCACCATAAAATTTACTTTATCCCCCCCCCCACGAAGGCACTGTAGAATCATAATGACCTCCCTCGTTGGCAATCAGTTTTCTATAGTCCTCCCCCCCCCCGTACTTGTACTCTGTTGCGACGACTGATCCCTACTCCGTTCCCCCTGAAAAACATATGATTCCCCCAAAATCCTCCGACCCCTCCCCTTGTTATAAACAATGACTAGTTCCTAAAAGATATACACTGTGATAATTCTCAAACTTGTGACATAACTATGTCTCTACCAAAACGGTTTCCGATTGGTTGTTCCCATTCTCAGTTGTCACGTACAGGGCACAACAAACACAGCGACGCCATCCCAAAGGAACCTTTTCAGTTTCGGTCTCGCGCGTTCCAAAAAGGAATCTTACCAACTGGGAACAAAAGGGCGTCTCAACGATTTATCGCAGCTGAAAAAGAAAAAGAACTTCTTGCCTGTTTCACAGGAACAGATCGGCTCTTACAGCTGTCTGGGTTCTTTGGTAGACCTTCTGTAAGCAGGTAGAGCCGGTTAAGTTGCTTCTTGAATGTTTCTAGCGGAAGGAGTTCTTTCTTCTCGGCTTCTTCATTTTTAAACTCTTTTGAATCATCAAGTTCAGGAGTGCCGTGGAAGTCCAATCTTTCATCAAATGCTCTAAAGGGACAGAGAACGATTGGTTCACTTATAAAATCCGGCAAGCAAGAGCTAAAGTACGCTGCCCACGTAACGCCCTTTCTATTTTTAAAATAGCTTTTGATTCTTCTTACGTAAACAAGTAAACTGACTCAGTTCTATGTCAGAAATATTTCTCGTTTATCAAAGGAACTGACTTGCGTTTCCCAAGCGTGGCACGGAATGCGCGTTTCCCCTGCTGCGCTTGACGAGGCTTGATATCCGTATCTCGATGGGAACGGGTCTGGAACTAGAGCCCAGCACTTAACACCAGCACACTTTCTATTGCCCTTGAAACCAGTTAAACTATCCCCTACACTTAACACCAATTGACTTTCTCCTTCGTTACACGACCTTTTTTAGTATTTTGGAAAAAAGGCGGATTGATGGAAAAAACAACGAAACAACATTTCATTTGAAAGAAGAAAGAGAGTAATTCAGATGACCTTCGATTTTGTTTAACCACGCTGTGACATTGGTGTCACAAAAAACGAAAAAAACAAACCCAGCAACACCCACTCAGCCAACCAGATGACAGAATAGAGGGGGTAAATTTCTCAAGAAACGATGGTGCTGATTCTGTGGGTGAGTATATCAAAATAATTTGGTTTTAACAACTGAGTTAATAATATAAATTGCCCATTGTTAAGAATTTCTAAGGTGACGTTTCGAGCGCTGGATCTTCCTCAGAGCGAATCAACCAGATGAAAGACTTAGGATCACCAAGTTTCGTGATTCCTGCGTTAGAAACCAGCCAAGTGACCTACGTTAACTTCTGGTCTCCAATTGGTTACTAGTTGACAGTTGATGTTATTGGCTGTTGCAATTACAAAGATTTATCGACACAAAGTCAAACTTTAGAAATAAAGACTTACAATTGGCGTTCTTTTAACAGTTGTTTCAGTTTAATCTCACACCTCACGGCTTTGACTCGCTCACACAACGATTTCGTGTCGGGGGAAACAGCTACAGTGAATTTGTAACATAAGTCAGCCATTTCATACATCTTCTGAGACTATTGGAAAAACGAGAACAAAATCAAAGTAAGTCAGCCGTTGTTAATAAAAGACCAGTGACGGAAAGAATGCCAACTATTCTAGTACAATTTGAATTTGTAAACGTAATACAAACGTGGACTACATGTTTCATTCTGGATCTGTGCAAAGTTAGATCTTGGTCATGAAATTTATTTGCATGGTAATAATTCACTCATGACAGTAACTGGTTTCTGCCTTTTTTTTCAATAATATGGGACCTTTAGGGTTTTTGTTTTATGCTGGTTCAGATAAAAGCAGAAATTAGAAAAACATATCAGAACTGAGAAATATGAGCACTTTTTAAAACCCTAACATCATTATGCATACCCTCCATATTCTTGTCAATTTATTCCTTGGTACAGACAAAGAGAATTCATTTTTCAATCAAAGTTTCTTAGGTTGGTGATCATTTCCTTTATTCTCACAACCTTAATGAATGATTCAGTAGTAATTACTGCCAGGAGAAATTAGATGCTGGTCACTCTAAAGGTTTAAAGAGGTAGACCTCTAAAATCTTGTTTCCTGCTTTCTGCTTTCTGCTCTAGTTTAATTAGAGGATGACATAGTTGACAGCTACCAAGAGGCCAGTTCAGGTTCCCTTGCCAGCAGTACTTGAACACCTCAACAATTTGACCCCTTAGAGTGACTGACATCAAATTTCTCCTGACAATACCCCCCCTGAATCAAACATTAAGGTCACAAGAATAAAGGAAATGATCCCCAACAAATAAAAGATCGTTAAACGCATTTTCCTTGTTGGCACATTACAAAATGTAAAGAGAACAGTATGGAGAATATGCATACTGATGTTAGGGGCAAAGGTTAAACCCCACAGTCAACAAGTTATCAACCGAGCAAGGTCATGACCATGTGACCACCTTACCTAGAAAATCCAATTATTGAGTGAAAAATTCATAGAGAGGAGTTCTGTAACTGACTAACAGCATACTAAACTGACCCAGCAATCAAGTACATGTACTCACAGCATAAATATTTCCAAGTAGAAAGTGATACACAGAATATTCCTGACAAGTTTCCATAGCAGTGTGCAGAAGAACAACAGAGTCATGGGTGTGATTTGCATGGTAAAGTACTGCCGCCAGGCTCATCAGTGCACGATCTTTGTGCTCCCTTAAAAAAAATATGACAAGATTACATAATGAACAACAATTTTCAGGACATTTTTTTGAAAAGAGAGGATTGCAAGATGGATTAGACATGAAGAGAACTATTCATGTCTCAATACAAAGCATGTTTTTTCACAATTGTCTTTACCAACAAGGCCTTTTACTTCCACACCATTCCTATACTATCAAAGTGAAAGAGGATACTATTAAATCTCTTCAAATGATACAATCAGATTAAATCAGATTTTAGTTTGTTAATTTTTGTCAGAAAGAACCCACAAAACTCCCTTTGGAAAGAGGATGAGAAATAACAAAAAATCCACCAAAAAGATATTTGAGGAGATCTAATTGTCTTACCTTGGTGAATAATACAAAGCTTGTCTTAAACATTCCACAGCATGCAGAGCATTTCCTTTAATTCTCCAATAGTATGCAGCAAGATTAAGTAAAACCCATGAAGTTGAATTCTGTACAAAAACAACAAATTTCTAAGAGAGGTGAAAATAAACTATTGGAGAGGAGTGAAAACATGGTGTGAAGAGCACATGATGGAATGATTTTTACTGTGTAATCTTAAGCCTGCATGACTAAAGAACCCAGCTTCAAATCCTCCTCTCTGAGAGTAATGTGCTGCTGTTTCTCAGAAGTGATAAATAATAATGATATAACATCTATTGGAACCATTTCCTTTTAATAACAAAATTTTACTATCTTTGCATCCCAGCTGGCAGAGAAGTACTTAATCCAGCGACCCTCCATTAAAGTTCACTGTTTAATAAATTTAAAACAAAAAGGGCAATATTACCAGATGTTGATTGGCTGAGACAGAGGGTATTTTTTATTAATTTTGGTAATTGCCCAGGGGCAAATTAGTTGAAAACATTAAAAAGGCTTACCTTTGCCTAAAATAATAATAATTTCATTGATGACAAATGTTTTTAGTAGGGTTGGTTTCATAACTTGGGTGTTGTACAAATAAACATAAAACTTCATTCAGCTGATTGTGTTGTACAGTTCATTAAATAAACATTTTTACCAAACCTAAAATAGCTTCATGCAAAATTGCACAATGGCATGCATTCTTTTCCTTCTTAATAACAGAAAATTTTACCCTTTATGCATTGATTAATTTACAGCTTCATCGTCCTTACTTCCAGACAACCCCCTTGCATTTGAACTGTTGTAGAATAGTCTGTTCAAATTACTGCCCCTGCCATAAAAATTGGTTCAAATGCCCCACTCAATTTTTTTTGTAAAAGGCAAAATCAGCAAACGTGACTTTCTACAAATTAACAAAGTCTTAAAATCCTTGACCATGTAGATGTTTTCTTCTCTCACCATTCACTTGCGAAAACACCTCTATATTTTAAGATATAACACTTGGCTGTATTCCCCTGGAAATACTTGAAACTTTTGGTTACAAATTTCCCACTCAAGCCAGAGAAGCCTTGAAATTATCCGCACATCACTGTTGACTATGTGATTGAGAAAGTGCAAAAGCCAATCAGTCCGCACTTGAAGTGCAAATTCATCTCCAATGTGATTCAATTATGTATTTATTTAACTTCAGATCAATGTAAAATCATGCTCACCTTTTCAAGAGCCAGACTCACTTGGCCTCCTAATTCTTCTGCAGTTTTAAAATAAGATGACATTGTTGTAAGCAGCATTGGCTCAGCAGTGGAATTCAGCAGATGGCGATGCTTTACTCCCTCAAGATGATCATAGCTGTATATAACTGTTGGTAGCTGAGCTTGACAAACTGGTGGTTGAACATCAGAGGGAAGTGACTGGCAAAGGTTGAGATGATCTGGAAGACTGAATTAATTTAACCAATGGGTAAGAGTAGTAATACTAATTATCCCTTTACACCCTAACATCAGTATGCATATTCTCCATACTGTTCTCTATACATTTCCTAATGTGTTGGCAAGGAGAATTTGTTTAACAATCAAGAGGTTCTTCAGTTGATTATCATTTCCTTTATTCTCATGACCTTAATGTTTGATTCATGGGTGATATTGAAAGGAGAAATTAGAGGCTGGTCACTCTCAGGGATTAAAGGGTTATATGATAAGCTGAATTGTGCATGCATTTGATTGATTGGTTCTTACTTATGATATGTCAGAGAACAGATGCATTTCTGTATATGACCTTAATTTTCTTCTAAGATAGCTGCAAACCATACTTGTATTTATTTGTATTTCTACGTTACTGACAGAGGTACAAAACCTTAATTAGTCTTGACTTAATTTACAGTTGAACATTGACAAATGACCAAAATATTTTTATACAACGAGCCGAATTACACATCCATTTTGATTGTTTCTTACAAAATGACATCACTATTAATGACATTTTGCTTTTTTTAACATATTGAGAAAAATGATTCCATGTTCCCCTTAGTCTTTAGGGTAATGAATCACAGAAGACATCAAAATCTTTTGACAAAATCAGTGGCACACTCGACAATGTCTCATGTGTCACTTTTTAGGTTTTAATCTGACATCATCTGTGATCTATTACTCTACAGACCCATGAGAACATGGAATCTACTTATTAATTAGAACTTGACAGCAACCTCCAATGGTGGAGTGTATTTGCCTCAGTAGAGTAAGCTTTAAAATAAATGTAGACAAAGTATATACAGAAAAATTGACTGATGACCACTTTTATCAACAGTAATAATAAGACCTTTAAACCATATTTCTGAACTTACTTGATGCCTTTCTTAGAAAAGGAAAGAGTCATATCTAAATGTAGTTCAAACTCAGAAATGTGGCCTCCTGCATCAACACAATCAGGATCCTCTTCGTAAAATGATTTTTGGATTTCTGCTCTTTCCTTCTCTCTTGCTTCAATAACTTTTCGTTTCTCTTCCAGGTACTCTTCTCGTAAAATCTTTAACCTATCAAATGCTGTTTGTTGCTGAATGAAGGTGACCAGATCGTAGGGTCGTTTGAGATTGAACACAGAGTCATCCTAGAAACAAATCATGTATCAAATGGGGTCAAATCCAAAGGAAATTCAATCTTGTTTGAGTTAGCCAAGGTCTACTGTATTTTGCTATACCTGGGACAGAAAGTTTCACATTTTGTGCATATTATGTCCAACAGCCTAGTTTGTTTCACAAAAGTATCTTTGCTAAATAGCATAGCTTCTTACCAAAAAGTGAATATGTGTATCTCGAAGACTACAACAAACATAAGATTTAAGTTTGATTGAAATGAGTGTTATTTTTAATATAAGTAAATTTCGAAATAAGTTCGCGCTTAAAGTCTACAAAATAAAAATATCTTATCCAAAATTATCAATTTATTTCAAAGATAATTCAACAACATCAATAATTCACTTAGGTTCTTCAATCAAAATATTTCAGGTACTTATCCTTTCGAATCTAATTAGTCTATTCACTAAAGTGACATCTCATTCATGTCAGGCAGAGAACACTATCGATGATTTTATCAATTTTACTCTCCAAGAGTAACGAATGTCCAGAAACTTTCAATAGCACGTCAACCAGTCAATGGATGAAGAACATCACGATAAAAATGGGCAAACGATGAATGAATTAAATTTAACACCAAACTCGAAGCTTATTCAAACAACCGAACGCCGTAATTGATGTGAATAATTTAAAAGATAAAAATTTAGATTCGTTACCTGCTGTTGGATTCTTCCATCCTCTGTTACAAACCAATGGGTTGCTCCTTTACAGAATGGATGTAAACATACAATTCCGATGGAAATAAAATAAAAAAATATACTAAAATCAAACATATTTTCACGATGGTTTCATCAT